AAAAAAAAAAAAAAAAAAAAAAATTAAAAAAAAAAAAAAAAAAAAAAAGAAATGAACTTCTAGAAACTTTCCCTAAGCACAAAACCTTATAAAAACAGATGAACAGATGAGGCTTTTCTTCAAAATCAAATCAATCTCAGTGATATATTTCTGAAAAAGCTGTTTTTGCAGTGAGTAATTGGTTAAAGATAGGAAAGCTGAAGTCCCTTAGTTCATAATTGGTTCTTATAAAACTTATAACATATTTTCAGATTTTTCCAAGTAACAAAGTTTTGTTTGTTTGTTTGTATCTTGGTTGCTAACATAGCTTTTCACATATTTCTAGAGTGTTATTCATCAGTGAAATCTGCTGCACATTGACACACAGGTCTCTACTGTTATTTCCATTACCAAATGGATAGATTGGGCCTAAGAGGCATTGTCTGATTTAAAATAGTCTAATAGGACTAATCCGGGAGTCTGACTGCTTCTTCTAGCAATAACTCACAATGTCACAGCTGCTAGGAGGTAAGGCTTAATCAGGCTTGAGCCATAGAACATATGTGTGTGCATGTTCTATGGGATAGACTATAGATTAGCGATTCATCAAGTTATGTTTTGATTCTGGGTTATCATGAAACAAGAGAACACCCCGTGGTAAAGTTATATTGCACTTAATTATAACTTTTCTACATAGAAATTGAATCCTTTTTTGACTCTCGTTTATTCATGAGGTTTTTCTGGTGGTAGTTAGGGGAAAGAGAGAGTATGAGAGAGAGTGGATCTGTTATACTCCCTGTTTTACAGTTGGATGAATTGAAAATTGGTCACAACCAATTAGAGGTAAAGCTAGAGCTAAGGTCTCAGGCTGTGCTTCAGTTGGCTATTGCCTTGATTATCAGTTGTTCATTTTTAATTGAATTATAACTCTGGGCTTCAGAGTGTGATAATTAAAAATGCTTTAGAAATTATGCAGCATGTGTATACATATGTGTTGGCTTTCTCTAAATTTTCCTAGGAAGAAATCTTTAATACTATCTCAGATAATTTCATGAATGTGTTACTTTAAATATAATGACAGAAAGAAGTATGGATTCAGAAAACAAACGTCATGCTAGATCAGAATAATCTTTCCACTGTGTTGCAGAAGTAATACTCTCTTGATCTGGGCCTGTCAGCGGTTTTTCATTCACATTAATACAATCTAGACAACTGATATTTTAGGTTCTCACCTGATAACAGGTCTGTATAAAGGCTCTTTGAAAACAAATCCATTGTGGCTCAAATAAAAACATTGATTGAACTAGCTATAACCATTTGGCTACTGTGAAGAAAATCAAATACTTGTATTTGGGGATTTTTTTTTTGTTAGAATAGGGAGGTGACATAATAATTTCTTCTTGAGATAGAAGAAAGCAAATCAAGCCAAAAATTGGATGCTTCTCCTAAGAGGAAATGTTTGTGCTTATTTTTGTTGTTGTTGTTTGCTTGGTTTTTTGAATTTTTTTGTTTTTTTTTTTGTTAACCCTGACTCATCCTTAGAAGTTAGAGAGGCAAAGGAGAGGAATGCTATTCTGGGTAGAGTGAGGACTTCGTCTCAACCTTTTTCATCACTGCCAGACAGCCACCTGCTCTTGGTTAGATTAGTATATGACAGAGGTAGAAAAAAAAAGAAACTGCTAAATAATATTGTATGTATGTCATTCTTTTCCCATTCAAAATACTGAAGCTGATGGGGTGCCTGGGTGTCTCAGTTGGTTAAGCATCTGACTCTTATTTTTGACTCAGGTGATGATCTCATGGTTTGTAAGTTTGATTCACACATCAGATTCTGTGCTGACAGTGCAGAGCCTGCTTGGGATTCTCTCTCTCCCTTTCTCTCTCTGCCTTTCCCCTACTTGCTCTCTCTGTCTCTCTCTCAAAAATAAATAAAACTTAAAAATCCTGAAGCTGAGTAAGAACCTTTAAAGATGTTATTTCTGGTATTGACTTAAAAATATAGGCAAAAGCCAACACTAATATTAGGTATCATTTATTGAGTGTTTAATTATTGATACCAAGCATTGCATTAGCACTTTACATTATCTTATTTAATCTTCTCAACAACTTGACTCTGACAAGTCATGTCTTCCAATTTATAATCTGCTTCATAACACATATTACAACCACGGGAAAAGAAAAACTATAATTAATTTTGAAATGAGTTATTTCATGTCTGACTCACCCATTAGACTGAAAACTCCATGAAGATGAAGACAGCCATATTTGTTCTGTATACTCAGCACTTAGACTGTACCTGGGACATGGTAGATACCTGATAAAATTTGTTGAATGAACAACTGAATGGTGAATGATTGGATTCATGAACGAATTCTATTAATCTATTAACTAATTCTATTAATCAATTTTATTAATCAGGTTCTGGAATGCCTTTGTTTTATATACCCAGAAAGAGAGGCTGAGACTTCAAAGTCTGTCTGACTCCAGATCACATAATCACTATATTTAAATAGTAGTTGAGGAACATAGAAATTGTCATGCTTTTGGAAAAGGATTTGAAATTTCAGGACATTCTGAATGTAAACACTTTCTTCAAAAGTGATTATACTATAAATTATGATTAAGATTAGGGATGGCCATTGACTTTCCTCCCTCAGGTGGTAGAAGCATGGTTCTCCTAAGCCTCCAACACATAAACTATTTCTCAGTATTGATTAGTGAAACAGAGGACCGCCCAGGAAGCTGTTTCTGGGCTCTGTTGCCAAAGGTACTTTGGCCTCTTGCTCACCCTAGGAGGGAGAACCGCAGACTTTTTGTACTGATTAGTTCCTTTCAAGAACAAAGTCTCTTTGGGGATTTACTAATTCCCTCACCTCCCTTGGTGCCCATGTTCATTCTTGTTGCCTCGTGTTAGGACTTTGCTCTAGGGCAGTTTTCCAGTTCCAAGAGAGACACTCGGGCCCCTGCTGCCCAAACATTCTGTAGTGCCATGCCCGATTAGCTGGGCAGGGTCAGACTTGCCTTTTACAGCCTTCCCAGGTATAGATCCTTTGCTAAGAAATCCCAGAAATGCCTTAATTCTCTGGATGTAAGTACATCAGAGCACCATAGACCTTAGGAGTTCTGAGCATTTGCGGCTTTCTCCCCTTAAAAGTGATGGAAGTACTTATCCCGTTGAGAGATATGTAATGCTTTATAAATAGAGCTTTATATCCCCCAACCTCCCCTCCCCCTCAAAAAAACACAAAGGGCACCTGGGTGGCTCAGTTGGTTAAGCATCTGGCTTTGGCTGAGGTCATGATCTCGCACGTTGGGTCTGCTTTGTGCTGACAGCTCAGAGCCTGGAGCCTGCTTCAGGTTCTGTGTCTCTCATTCCCTCTGACCCTCTGCTCACACACTCTCTCTTAAAAATAAACATTTAAACACACACACATAGCACAACAACCACCACAACAAACCTTGAGGACTACTTAGGAAGAAACCATCCTGAGAAACTTAAACGTCTATCATGGAAGGAGGCAAGTGATTAGCAGCTACAGATTTATATAATGACTAAAACGGCCTCAGCTAAACATGTGAGTAGCGGCGGCAGCTGCCTCTTAGCCACAATCACAAGCCTTAGACTTCCCACCCTCTAGCATATACTGCTAAATGGATTAATCATCAAAGCATGTAAGTATACCAAAAGAGGATTTATTGACTTCTTTGGGAACCTGAAATGCCTACTGCTTGGTCCACTGAGGCCAGCAAGAAGGGAGAGCACACTGAATACCTCATTGTCAATATCTAATTGGGTCTTCAGGCACAGTTCAGCCTCATCAGAGCCAGTTCTGAAAAGAAAGCCCTGTTATGTCAGACAAACACTTTTTGTGTGATTCTTAATTACTTTCCCATGGGTTCCTTGTTTTCTAGGTCTTATCTGCTCAATTATTGTACTAAAACACAAATTACATCAGGCATCTAAGCAGCAAAGAAGGGCAGCTAGGATCCCAGAAACCCATAGGTTACTGACAATGATCTTGCATTAAGAACTTTAACCTACTGCTACCATGGTGTAAGCTCTCTCTTCTTGCATATTCAAGGACCTCTCACATTCTGAAGATCTTTAGCCCTAGATAGTTAATGCTGTCCAAGGGGAATGTCTTTGGCAACCTCTCTCAGCTTCCTCTTTCTGACCTGTGGATAGCACTTTCCTTAGGAGGTGGTTGAGCTAGCTCCATAGTGCCGTTTAGGTGCCTATCATTTAGGTGTACATCTGTGTGGTGCTGGATGACTACAGAAGCCTCAGTTCGCTCCATGGTGTAGAATTTCAGAGGAAGCCATTTGTTTCCCTGACGCTTTTTATCTATCATTTCAGCGGCTTCATATACAGATAGCTCTGATGATGAGACATCTCCCAGGGACAAGCAGCAAAAGAACTCTAAGGGAAGCAGTGACTTCTGTGTCAAGAACATCAAACAGGCAGAGTTTGGACGAAGAGAAATTGAAATCGCTGAACAAGGTAAAGAAAGCAAGCACCTTTTCTTTTTCATGCTGTCTATGTCTTTTTGTCCATGTTAATCCCTTTTTATGTCCTGGGGTCTAGTAGCTTGTGAAATTTGAGCATGGTTTTAAAGAGGGGCGCCTGGGTGGCTTAGTTGGTTAAGCGTCTGACTCTTGATTTCCGCTCAGGTCATGATCTCACAGTTTGTGAGTAGGAGCCCCCGAATCAGGCTTTGCACTGGTAGTGCAGAGCCTGCTTGGGATTCTCTCTTTCTTCCTTTCTCTCTTCCCCTTCCCCAGTTGCCCTCTCTCTCTCTCTCCAAATAAATAAATAAACTTAAAAATAAAGTGTGGTTTTAAAGAATACTTAAAAGAAATCTGAACTTAGGAAACACTGTAGAGAAGGGGTATACTCTGGTGGGTCTGTAAGGAACCCCTGTACCAGGAAAAGGGAGAGAAAGTGGAAGATTAGGATATTGGGAGTAAGAAGTCTGGAGCATTTGCCTTGGAAAGTCTCTTATAAAAGAAAAATCAGATTCAATGTCTTGGTTTCTTGAGAAACCCAGTCTAACAAAGAACCTGATCAGGGAAAGAATCTTACTTTAAGAGAATAAGTTCTTCTGTTTATTCTTTCTCTCTCATTCCCTCCTCTCTAATACTGCTGTGTACGTATTGTGCCCTTTCAGAAATGCCTGCACTGATGGCTTTGAGGAAGAGAGCTCAAGGAGAAAAACCTTTGGCTGGAGCCAAAATTGTGGGTTGCACACACATCACTGCTCAGACTGCTGTGAGTCCTTTTCCTTTCTCCACATAATAATAGTTAATAATAGCCACCAGCTATTGAGTACTTGCAAAATGCCAAGCTGTAGGTTAAGAGCTTAACAGGAATTAAGTCATTAATCCTCATAATGGCCATGTAAAGCAGCTATTCTTGTTTCTACTTTACAATGAGGAAACTAAGGCTCAGGGTGTTTAATTTGCCCGAGGTTATACAGCAAGTAAAATCATAGAATCCAGGTTTGAACTTCAATGTATCTGACTCCCAAGTTTATGCTTTCTGCGTGTGACACTGCTTCCCCTCATCTTCCCTTCCTGTGTCATTTCTATAAGGCAGCTCTCTTAGACTGCTTACAGTTGCAAGTAAAAGAAAACCTGATTCAAACTGGCTCATACATAAAGGAATTGATTATATTACATAGTTAGGAGTTCAGAGGTAAGGTGGATTTCAAATTTAGGCTCTCAGGGCTCCAGTTTCATCTATCTATAATTTTCTCGGTGCTGCCTCTTCACTTGCTTATTACTTCATCCTCAGGATCATAGCAAGATGATTGCAGCTCTTTAAGCCATCACAAATGGACATGAAGAGTAAGAAGGACCATTTCTTCTTCTCCCCCAAGAGCAAGGAAACCTTTCCCAGAAGTCTTCCAGGACATTCCATCACATGTCATTGAACAGAACAGGGTCACATGCCCATGGCTTACCAGTTCTGGCAAGGAGACTGGGGTTACCATGATTGATTCAGACTAGTGACTCTTACCCCTATCAGATGTAGTGTCTCCTTTTTCTAAAAAATATTTTTGCAATGCCTCTGTATTATCTTAAAATGATATTCGAACATAACACACCTCAGTTCATACAATTATTATTAATATAAAATCATAACTGAAATATGAAGGAGGAATGAAAGAAAAATAATTTATAATGAAATAATGTGTATTTCAGTATATAAATGCTTGGGCACAAGTATAGTGGAATACTCAGATATTTGTACTTCCTCAGAGCATTATTTGAATGAGAATGTCACAAATGTAGATAGAAATGTTTTACTGGTTCTAGAGCATCAGAGTGACATTGCGGAATTATACGTTTTTATGAATCATAATAAACTATAAACAACTTTTTTACAAATCTCTGAGCAGCAACAATAACAAGTGTCTGTTTTCTCTTAATTAACACAATTGTTGCATTCCTGGAAAAGCTATTATTATTTTGTATTAAAACTACAAGAGTATTTTTTGTTAATGTGTCAGATGGAATAAGGTTCTAAGTTTAGAACTTAGATCATTATAAATAGGTTTCTCACCCATGTGAACTTTCATTGGAACATTTGAAAACTGTACTAAGTATGGCATGGTTTTTGTTGTAAGAGACTGTCCTGCATTTTCAAAATGTCAAAATCTCTGGTCCTGATCACTAAATGCCACTAGCATTCCCCTCCCAATTATTGTGACAATCAAAAATGCCCCCGCACTTTTCCAGAGCTCCTCTGTTGAGAATCACTGACTCAGAGCCATCATCAAAGACATAAGAGATATTGAATTGCCAACCATAATGAAAACACTACAGCAAATTGGTGTATTGAGAAATGGTCTGAAGTCATTTATATGATTTATAAGACTCAGGTCATCTGTATGGTTAGATCAACTTTCGAAAGACTGTCTCCTGAAGCATAACACTTATTTATATGGTCACATTCCTGATTAAGTACAGAGAGAGTCCTTAAGACTCAGGCAGCTACTGCTAAGACCTTTACCATGAGACTTTTCCAGATTACATGTTCTCTAAGGGGAAAAAACACCTTGAGTGCCCAAAATTAATATAATAAATTGAAAAGCTATCTCTTTTTGGAGCTACAGACTAATGAATCGAGGCAGAAACACTCTTGGAATCTTTTTTGGGCTTCCCCAGTCAGTGACATGAGACTTCAGTGTGGTGGCTTAAAATAGTAAGTGCTTCTGTACTGTCTCATGTTGCTAAGTTGTATCTAGTCTCCTTTTTACCCCCTGGGTCAGCAAATATTACCACCTTTCAAGGCTCTCTTCTACTTTCTCTTGAATGGAGTAATCAAAATTAGTTTACCAGTTTTAACGTCATTTCATTGTTCCTCCCGGCGTTTTTTTTTTTTTTTTCCCCCTTTAAAAAAATAATTACACAGGGGTGCCTGAGTGGCTCAGTCAGTTAAGCATCTGACTCTTGATTTCGGCTCAGGTCATGATCTCCTGTTTGTGAGTTTGAAGCCCGAGTTGGGCTCTCCACTGACAGTGTGGAGCCTGCTTGGGATTCTGTGTCTCCCTCTGTCTCTGCTCCTCCCCTGCTTGCACACTCTCTCCCTCACAACAAATAAATAAACATTAAAAAAATAATAATAACAAAGGAATTTTGCCTTGTTTTGATTTTAATCTCTGTTTTCTTTTTCTGATTACAGAAGTAGTTAATGTTTATAATACTCAAGCGTTACCATAATCTGTAACATAAAGACAGTCTCCTATGATCCCATGTTCCAGAAATAACTATCATTGTTAGTTAATGGTTTCCTATCCATGTTTCCAATAGACTTGGATCTATTTATATTTTTTAGGCATGTTTCCCTAGTTCCTTCTAATAACCAGGTTCCTGTGTTACTCTCTCTAAACAGTCATGATTGAAAGTCAGGTTAAATCAGCTTCTAAGCTCTGTCCTCCTTCCACTCCTACCTAACTTCACTCCTGTTTGAGCCCTAACAGCTAGCACTCTCTACTTGGAATTCTTTGTTTATTTTATTTTATTTTATTTTGAATTTTTCTTTAAAAAATTTTTTTCTCTTAATGTTTTATTTATTTTTTTGAGAGAGACAGCATGAGCAGGGGAAGGTCACAGAGAGAGGGAGACACAGAATCAGAAGCAGGCTCCAGGCTCTGAGCTGTCAGCACAGAGCCCGATGCAGGGCTTGAACCCACAAACCGTGAGATCATGACCTGAGCCGAAGTCAGATGCTTAGCCGACTGAGCCACCCAGGAGCCTCTAGAATTCTTTTTTAAAATATTTATTTATTTTTGAGAGACAGAGAGTGCATAAGTGGGGCAGGTGCAAAGAGAGAGGAGGACAGAGGATCTCTGCCCTGACAGCAGAGAGCCAGACACACAGGGCTTGAACTTGAACTCAACCGTGAGATCATGACCTGAGCCGAAGTCAGATGCTCAACCAACTCAGCCACCCAGGCACCTCCAAGTTTGTTTTTCTTTAATTAGAGCATAATTAGACTTTTAATTTAGCATTGAAATATTAGAAAATGCAAGTTTTACAACATGAAAAGTACCAGTCCTGAGTTAACTACTGTCAGGAAATTTAAACTTCAGCAAAAATTAAGATTTTTGCTTCCTATGAGAGAAGAGTGTAGCAAAGTGCCCAGGTTTCATGCCTGTCTTTGAGCACAGCTGACCAGGTCCTTGCTCCGCAGTCTTTCTTGTGAGCACTGGGTAGAAACCCCTGGAAAAGAGTGTGAAATCTACTTGTGCCTGAGGTTATTAGAAGTTCCAAATGGACATACTTTCCCACACTCAGCCTTTACCAATTCATAGAAATTCTAGCTATTTTTTTCTTCTCCTCATGTGTGGCACCCACATCTTCCGCCCATGCTCTGTCAGAGGTAAGACAGTGTGTTCCTTGTCTCCTTAAAGGGATTTGTCACTTTGGAGTTCAGTGCACTTGATTGCTTTGATGGGCTCAAGAAAAGTTAAGGTTTTATAGATTATCTGGCTGTTCTTGTTAGGATAGGAGCTTTTCTTGCAGCTTCCTTAAGGAGAAACACAATCGTTTATTGGTGGTTTTTCAAAAATGTTTTGGCTCAAAAATCCTTGGTTTAATTAAGACTTATAAGGAGGCCCAATATATTAAATAGGTGGAAGAGCACAGAGCTCAGCTGGAGCCCTCCCCCATGCCTACCCCCAACCCTTGCCCTCTACTCAAAACATTGAGGAATTACTATAGAGCACAGTGTGAAAATCGCTGGCCTTAGTTATTCCCTGATATACTTTCTCAGTATCAAATATATAAACTTAATGTCCTTGACCAGTTGTTTGGCCAGCCTTGCTCATCTCCTGCTTTCTCTTGAATACAGGTGCTTATGGAAACCCTGGGTGCGCTGGGGGCACAGTGCCGATGGGCAGCCTGCAACATCTATTCCACTCTCAATGAAGTGGCTGCTGCTCTAGCAGAAAGTGGTAAGGTTTTTTTGCTTGTATTGTATGCCTTTGGCTACAGTAAGTCTCTGAAAAGTTCCATGGACTCAATATAAATCTTTAAGGAAAATTAACATTAAAGTTGCTGTCTTAGGGGAAATGGATCCCGATTCTTGATGAGTATGCTCTCCTCTGGGCTTCTCTTGTTAAACATGATGAAAGTAACTCTGTTATTTTACAGTTGGCATATATCTTCTTGTGTCTAATATTCCCTTATTAGTTACTTTTTTGCCTTGACTTGCTAATATTAGAGCACCAGTGAGCACTACTCATTGTCTGAGGTCATATGGATTAGAAAAGAAAGTGCTTCAGGCATAGTTTTGTGGGTCTGCTGGTTTTTACAGCAGTTTGCCCTGATTTGATGTTTGGTGTTTCTGCTTAAGCAGTAAAAAGGACTTGACCTGGCAGATTAATATTTGATCACGATGACTACTGACACAGAAGGACGAAAGAAATAGAGATATTTAGACTTTGCCAGTTTCTTGCCTTTGCTCTGTGGCAGCAAAGCACAGATCAGGGTACCAGATGCTCGTTGCTTCAGAGCTCTTGAGAAATGCTGAGAAAGCTCTGTAGTGCGTGCATGTCTCTCCTGCTGGTGCTTGAGTATTTCATTTTTTATTTCATTTACATTCATTCATTTATAAAATTTTTATTAATGTACAAGATATGTATATAAATGTGCAGAGATATTAAATATATACATTCTGTTTTTCTTTTCAACAAATATTTAATGACCTGCTCTAAGAGATATAAGGACAAATGAGACCAGGTCTTTGCCCTAAGATTCTTATATTGTGGTTGAGAAGAAAAGACACATATGCAAATAATGATAATACAAGGATATAGATGATAGATGCCACAACAGATCAGAAATCTACATTCAGTGCACAAGCAAGTGGCTTATAAAAGTTCAGATTCCATCAGAGATCACTTACAGCTGAGTTAATCAGGCTTTGTTAGGAACATGACATTTAACTGGGCTATGACAACATTTTAACAGATGGAGAAGAGTGTAAGGGTTTTCACCATGAAGAAGATGGGATGACTAAAGTTTAGATGGAGGAAAGATCAAAGTGTAGTTGGAAAATGGTGAGACTTCCAGTTTGACTGGATCAAGAAGTACTTAACTTCTGGTCTCTTCTTTTTTCCCTTAAGTCATATTTTTAGCATCCATCATATTCTTGTACCTTTTGTTTGTCCTCCTTGGTATATCAAGAGCAAAATGACCACCAAAGACAAAGGAGTGGATGAAGGGGTTGAAGACAATGCTAATCAGTGAAGAAAGTCAAGCCAAGGAGTAAAGCAGAATGAGAGAGTTTGGAGATGGGGAAAACCAGCATCTTGTCAAAATTTAAGGGCAGCCCTTTTATCAGGCTTTAATGGTTTCTCTTTGTTATCTTTTCTCAGGATTTCCTGTTTTTGCCTGGAAAGGAGAGTCAGAAGATGACTTTTGGTGGTGCATTGATAGATGTGTGAATGTGGAGGGCTGGCAGCCAAACATGGTGAGTTAGATTTCTGCTAGTACAATTCCTAAGGGATCTGCTGGGGACAGAGAAGGGGACTGTGGCAGGGGAGAGGGTGTCTTGACATGAACTGAAAATGCTTCCTTTTCTATCTGATATACCTGTGCTTCCAGCAGAACTGTGTGCTTATGATTAGGGTACCCCAAGAATATTGAACTTAGCCTCAAAGTGCTATGTTGGTGCTGATCGTAGAAGCATTTATATTCATCAGCAACATTAAAATACTGCTCAGAGTTCACACATAGCTGTTTCAAAAGCAAAGTTAATGAGTTATCATTCCCTTCTACTGCTTACCTCTTATCCAACAACAGTAATCCAAATGTACATGCACATGGCATGCGCGCACGCACGCATACACATACACACAAAGAGCTCCTGTGGTGCTTAGCTGTTCTCTAGAGTTACATGCTGAATTTATAGTAAACCTGAAGAGATTCCAAGTTCAAATTTCTTCTCTTTATTCTGTACTTGAAGAAAAATGACGAGGCAAAACATTTGGGGTTTTTTATTTTGCTTCATTTTATTTGTGTTTCATTTTTGAAAATCAAGTTTTTGATCAAGTTTTTGAAGGCTGATAGCACATTAGATTTCACTGAGAAGCAAAAAGCTGCACAAAATATGAGGCACTCCTACTTCATAAACATTTCTGTATATGAAAGAGAAGAGAAATTAGGGAATCAACTGGAAAAAGAAGGTCTGCTCCAGCTATTGCTTGCTGCTGCCGGTTGCAGAGCAGGCCTCACTTGGTGCACAAAGAGAGAAGCATCCTCTTTCTGGATTCTGTGATCCAGGTTACATTGCACCGTGTGCTGGTGTGAGGAAGCTGGTTAATATCCTGCTTAAAGGGAGGGAGGAATCAGCTGTGAGATGAGTCAGCTCATTCCCACAGAGTTGAACAGGGACTGGAAGGAGTTTGACTGACAGACCTAAAGGAGATGTGCTGGGGGGTTTCTGTGGGGAATAAAACATTAATTTTAGAGTGGAGAACTTGAGGAGGATATGGGATTGCAACTAGGGCGCATTTACAGACTATAGAGCCAGCACAACCTGCTGGAAGAGCTGATGAAGAAAGTAAGCAAGGATAAAAGCCTTTGTAACCCCAGAAAGAGAGCCCATTCCTGTAGGGATCCGTCAAGATCAAGTACTTTTACTTGCTTTCCAATCTCAGGAAGACTCCCTAGTGGCAAGAGTTTTCTGCAATAGAATACCATGGTATAGAATTATGGGCTACCATCATTAAATAAATACGAGGGATAACAACTACCTGCCTGTAGATCCCTCTGTTAAAAGAAAAGTGGACCAGAATAGTGGGACTTGAGACAAAGAGTTTCTAGTTGCTCAGGCTTTTTTGTCTCTGATCTTTTGTGTGGATAGGGATCAGAAACCCTGTTCTTTTTTTTTTTTTTAATATTTTTTATTTCTGAGAGAGAGAGAGAGAGACAGCGTGAGCAGGGGAGGGTCAGAGAGAGAGGGAGACACAAAATCTGAAACAGGCTCCAGGCTCTGAGCTGGCTGTCAGCACAGAGCCAGATGCGGGGCTGGAACCCACGAACTGTGAGATCATGACTTGAGCCAAAGTCGGACGCTTAACCGACTGAGCCACCCAGGTGCCCACAGAAACTCTGTTCTGAGGAAGGCTTTCTACTAGAAGAGAGTGAAGCGTTAACTTATAGAATAAAGCGAATGTATTTTAATGAGAGTCTTGTCTTGGATCCCTGCTCTCAAATAAACTTTAGTTAAGTCAGGAAAAGAGATTAAGAGCAAGACTAGAAGCAAAAAGAGTTTAGGTGCTAGACGTGAAGTGGGGGAGTTTGTGTACCCAGGGGCCCAGCAAGGCACTGGGGGCACTTGTGGTGGAGTTGATATTTGATGAGACTCCAAAATGGGTATGTGCCAGTACGGAGCAATTCAGTTCTGTGGGGACTTCAAAGGGATAACGATTTGGAAAGCCCTGCTAAGCCTTTCTGACAGATAGGTGAAGGGCTGAATGAAGTGCCACAGCCTAGGGCCTAAGAGCATTCTAAGCTGGTCTTTCTTTAGCTTATTTATAATTCAGAAACTTTCCTCTGCTGATGAAAGCTCCAGTGGGCATGGCATTGTGTTTATCTTTAATCCCAACCTGAAATAGTGATGAGCTATTCAGAGGCATGCTTGCACACCTACATGCTGCACAGTTCCCTGGTTATTTTTAATTTGGTTTATAAAGAGTGTGAGGTTTCGCTAGGCAAAACCCTTCAGTGCTGCCTGATATTTTGGGTAGGATAGTGCCTATGCTTTGGAAGAAGTGAAGTATTAACAAATACAGTTCTATAAGCCATTGTTCTGGGAGGGAGACTAATTATCTGGCTTTATTTAAACTAAGCTTTTACTGAATATAACTGAAGTCCTGAATGTAACTGGTAGAAATATGCTAATATCAAGGTCAGGCTTTCTAAATATCTACAGTGCATTCAAGAACTAATTGTCTAGATAACCACTTAACCTGTTAGTTCATAAGAAAATCCTCATTGCTTTGCTGTGTATTTTGATACAGTAGATAGGTTATGTGGGAAGGTCATTTGGCTGTGAGAATTATAGTTGGCCTTTCACCCCTCATTGCTTTTACTTCAGTGTAATGACTGGCTTTAAGTTACTTTGCATAAACCTATGGGAAATTTGAAATATCTGTAAATTGGCAGAAATTGAGATAAAAGACCCAGAGCAACACCGGAAGCCCTGAGCCTTCAGCAAAATAAATGACATTATTGATGCTTATTGCAGATATTGGATGATGGAGGGGATCTTACTCACTGGATTTATAAGAAGTATCCTAATATGTTCAAAAAAATCAAGGGCATAGTAGAGGAGAGCGTTACGGGAGTCCATAGGTAAGATTTGACATGGGCATACCTGGTTTTTTGCTGCTGAGATATATACTCTGATAATCACACACCCTATAGAATACATTATGTTAAAAATTGGAACCTGCTATGAGGTGAGGAGATCTGAGTCTGCACACTTGTTTTTTTAATTAACAATGCAAATAAAAAACCTGCAATTGGGAGTGGGGACAGGTAAGGCAACAAGTGTGGTCCTCGTGTTTTCTAGTCATTGTAATACAATGACTGTGTGTCCTTTTTAGACTAATTCGTTTTTTCCATAGATGTTTAGTTAACTTGTACAATGAGCCAGGAGCTTCTGCAGGAACTATGCTAGGGATCTAGCAGTGGGCAAAACACGATGAAAACCTAGGTCCTCATAGGGCTTACATTTTGACTTAGAGAACAAGGATTTATGGTTCTATTTCTCAAATGAGCAGTAATTCCCTGAGTAAAATTGAAATAATTTCTGTTTACTGTTATTTACTCAACAGGAACTGAAAGTATGAAATGAGTTTTAGGGAAGTGAATTCTGAATAAGCCACCATCACTGCTTTAATATAGTTTGACCTTTTTTAATATACCATACCTTCAGAATCTTAGAAAGGGATGAATTTTGAATACAACACCTGGTTCTAATTTTTAGGTGATTCAACTTAAAATGAAACATATATAGATATACATACTTATAGGTATTAAAATGAAACTTATGTATAGATATACATATTTATAGGTATTTGTACTGAGATGATAAAATCGAGGCTATTTGAAAGTTAAAATTGTTGTACTAGAATAGTGGAATTAAATAGTACTTACAGTTACTGTTTATATAATTTAAAGGGGGGAGTAAAACTAAGGAATTTATTTTTTAATGTTTATTTTTTTATTTTCAGAGACAGAGAGTACACATGCGAGCATGAGCAGAGGAGGGTCAGAGAGAGGGAATCCCAAGCAGGCTCAGTGCAGAATCCAAAGCGGGCTCCATCTCATGAACTGTGAGATCATGACCTGAGCCGCAATCAAGAGTCAGATGCTTAATCAACTGGGCCACCCACGTGCCCCAATAAGCAATTTTAAATTTTACTTTTTAATGATTGAAATTTAGAGGTGCGTCAAAGATTTTCCTCACGTGCCTTGTGACTAAGATCTTTATTTCTAAGCTGTATACAGACTCTAGAAAGGTAGTCTTTATTTCTCTATGTACACCTACTGGGATGAAACTAGTGTGTCCCATGCTCTCACGCCTACCCAATCAACATATTTCTGTAATTTGTTATGAAACTGACAGTAGATTGCATTATCTCACTGTTTTGTGTTCTTCTTGATGCCCCTCATCCTCAGGCTGTACCAGCTATCCAAGGCCGGGAAGCTGTGTGTTCCAGCCATGAATGTAAATGACTCTGTTACCAAACAGAAATTTGACAACCTCTACTGTTGCCGTGAATCAATTCTAGATGGGTAATGTTTTATTATCTTTGCAGTGAACTTGAGTTGTTGAATGGAGGTTCTGAGTTTTTTGGGTTTTGTTATTTCTGGAAATGATTCATGTAGCACCTCTGGATCTATCACTATATAATACTCGGTATTTTATAACCCAGATCTACCATTGCTATCCCCCTGACAAGCACATCTATTTTACTTAAAAAATCAGACTGGCCTCTATTTATTGGTGGCAGAGCTTTTACATTGTGACCCTATCAGCCCTGCAAGACAGTAGCTAAAGTCCTAAACAGCTGAGTATCTTTGATGATTTGGGCAAAGGTTCCTAGTGTTCCTATTTCTAGGTCACATTACAAGTTTTTAAACTCCAACTAGCATGGGACACCTGGGTGGCTCAGTCGGTTAAGTGTCCAACTTTGGCTCAGGTCATGATCTCATGGCTTGTGAATTCAAGTCCTGCATGAGGCTCTGTATTGACAGCTCAGAGCCTGGAGCCTGTTTCAGATTCCATGTCTCCCTGTCTCTCTGCCCCTCCCCTGCTCACGGTCTGTCTTTCTCTCTCTCAAAAATAAACAGTCATTAAAAACAAAAGTTTAAACTCCAACTAGCATATAATTCGCTGGCCATCTGAAAAACTGTAAGCAAAGAGTCCATCCCAGAAACATTTCAAGTTTTTCAAATCTATAAGGTCTGCAAGTCTGACAAAATTTACTTAGGTATATACCAAATACTATACTGTATTCTTCCAATACCCAGTTTTGTTTCTACACTTGTGTCCAGATACTCCTTCAGCCTTGTTCAGAAGACTCAGTAATTCCCTATGTAAAACCATTAAGTTGGTTTAGAATATTGCCAAGCCAAATGGTTTCCATCATGTTTAGGTTAATGGAAAAGCTAACAAAGGGCTGCGGGCCACATTACTAAGCAGTCTGGACCATAGGCAGTTTGCAACACCACAGGTGTTAAAGCCAGAAAGACTGTCCTGATTTGACTATTGACCATTTAGTCTTGGACTAGTTATTTGACTCTCTCTGTGCCTGGTCCCTTATCTGTAAAATGGTAACAGTAAGAGCTACATCATAGAGTTATTGTGAGGATTAAAGGAGAATAAGTTATGAACCTGGTCTTCAATGTTAGTTCCCTTGCCCTTCTTTCTAGAACCCTATACATTAAGTTCTAGGATTGAGTTAGATCTTAGGGGAAGCTTTTTGCTTTCAGATCTTTTGGGGGGGGGTAGGGAAGATATTCAATGCAAATTCAATTTATTGGTAATTATTACTTCTATAGAGTCAATAGTATTACCACATAGATTGGACATTTAAGTGAATTATCAATCTATCAGTCAGTTTATAAACTATCCCTGGCTACATAGAAGTGTTAATAGCTTATATGAATAGCTTGGCACCTGATATTCCTTTGGGAAGAGAGGCAGAAAAGCTTGAGAGTAAAGCAAAGGAGGCTCATAAATATGATTTATTGATTTTCTTTGCTGTGATAGCCATTCCAGGACCATTCTTCTAAACTATGACTTTTGAGTATGGTAGTAGCCCAGCCAGACTTACTCTGTCACGCAACAAGAATTGCCTCTATACTTAATTGATGTTTTTAAAATTTAATTAATTAACTTTTAATTAATTAACTAATATTAACATACACTGTTAGATTAGCTTCAGGTTTATAATACAGTGATTTGCAATAAGCGCACTCCTTAATCCCCATCACCTATTTCACCTATCTTCCTACCTACCTCCCCCTCTGGTAACCATCACTTTATTCTTTATAAGTGAAGTCATTTGGTATTGTCTTTTCCTGACTGACTTATTTCACTTAGCATTATACTCTTTAGCTCCTGTGGTGTTGTTGAAAATGGCAAGATTTCATTCTTCTTTATGCCTGAATAGTATTTGATATTATTGAGTTTCATTGCAGTTCATGGAGTTATATGAGTTCCTACTGAGTGGCGTTGTCAAATCATTAAAAAGACAGAATTCCTATGCTGCCTTTAGGGCATTTACAGACTGTTTTCTATAGGAAAGGTAAGCCAATGAGTGAATAGAAAGAGTCACAAATATTTGTAGGAACTGTCTATCTCAGAATAGACTGGTTTTAGTTGCAAACTTTCTTCTGCCTAGTGAGGGATTCCTAGAGAAAGGAGACTGGCTGAATCTAAAGAGAAACCAGAAACTGTTCCTACAAGTTCTTCCAAGAGGCTCTAAAAACAATAAGGACATTATTCTAGCTTCATAGAGAATCAGAGACAAAGAAATAGAACATGTTTAAGAAAGAATCAGTTCTAGAAAATTCACTCTTATGTAGTTGGTATTGGTGTGTTCAAAGCTCTTCACCGTCTAGTTGCCCATTACCCTCTGTGTTGAATTATTGAGGGACCTATTGGCCATTCTTTTTTTTTTTTTTAAGTTTATTTATTTATTTTGAGAGAGAGAATGAGAATGAGTGGGGGAGGGGCAGAGAGAGCAGGGCGGGGGTGATCTTAAGCAGGCTCTATGCTCCATGTGGAACTTGATGAGGGGCTTGATCCCACAATCCTGGGATCTTAACCTGATCCAGAATCAATAGTGGATGCTGAACCTGACTGAGACACCCAGGTGCCCCGTGGCCATTCTGATAATACTAAATGTAGCACTCATTTATCAGTGTTTTCTTTTATGTTTCTATGTCATTCAATAAGCTAGAATAATGTTTCCCTTTGAGCTAGAACTTTGTCTCCTAAATAAAAATATTTTATTTTTATTTTCTTCTATTTTTTATTTCCAAAAATTACATAATAAAAGTATACTGCTTTTTGTTTAAAAGTTACTTTGTAGTCTATAGTTTCCTCCTTTCTGCACCACTCCCAAAACAAGAAGAAAAAGGAAAAAAACCTCACATATTGATAGATCAGATAGCATGGAATGAGAAAGTATCTATTTTCTCCACCTTTCTTTCTAATCATTAGATAGTACACTAACCAGGCTTCCTTTCAAAATGGAACAAACATGAAAACAGAGGGACCCTATCTAATCTCCAAGGAGAAATGAGGGATTTTTCTGATTTAATGGTTTTTCTTCCCCTAGACTTAAAAGGACAACAGACATGATGTTTGGTGGAAAGCAGGTGGTAGTCTGTGGCTATGGAGAGGTAAACCTTAACTTTTCACTTATTAGATGTATAAAATGTTATTCTGGTGAAATATACTAGACTTTTTCATTCAGTGGATGTGAGAAACATTCACTTACCACTCTAGATGAGAAAAAAGTAACTTTAGAGACCTTCTGGTTAAAGTACAATCTTTCTTTTTCCCTTTGCATTTTTGCCATTTTTTTTAAGTTGATTTTCTGACTAATTCTAGTGCACTGTTTGTGATGTTCTCTTAGCTTGTGTTTTGATTATAAATCGTGAGTGTGGGTGTTCTTATGTACATGCATGTGCTAAACAGGGGCTAGGAGTTTGTTTGTGAACTGCATTCATTTATTTATTTGTTCTTATTTTTCCTCCAAACACGAATCTATTCAGTGAAATCCTTCTGGGGGTGGAAAATGGGGTACAGTTTACCAGAAGCTTTGAGATGTTGTTTTCTCACTGACTTCCTTATTATGTGTACTTTCTTCCCTCTTTAGGTGGGGAAGGGCTGCTGTGCTGCTCTCAAAGCCATGGGCTCTATTGTGTATGTAACTGAGATTGACCCCATCTGTGCTCTTCAAGCCTGGTAAGCATGCAAAAGGAAACCTGCTTTTTCCTCTATGCCACCATCTAACATGGGATCTTGTAATTGTCACCAAAGAATGGCCTAGTTAATGCTACATTTTATCTTAGAGAGGCCCAGATCCTGAGAGATGCTGCCGTTGAATGTAAGCTCCTCTCTTTCAAAGATCAAGGAGCAGAGACTATCAGAGAAACTAAAATTTAAAATTCCTGTGGAAATAATAAGAGGGGATGCCCTGAGACAGAAAACAAGTAGTTCCTTCCCTTATCCATGTATAATTCTTCTCCCTTTTTAAAAAATGTTTATTTTATTTTTGAGAGAGAGAGAGAGACAGACTGAGCATGAGCAGGGGAGGGACAGAATGAGAAGGAGACACAGAATCTGAAGCAGGCTCCTAGGCTCTGAGCTGTCAGCACAGATCATCACCTGACCTGAAGTTGGATGCTTAATTGACTGAGCTACCCAGGCACCACCCCCCCTTTTTTGTAAAGTAAGCTCTACACCTAGCATGGGGCTCAAATTCATGACCCCAAGAGCAAGAGTTGCATGCTCCACCAACTGAGCCAGACAGGCATGCCAGCCCTTCCCGTTCTCCCTTTGTAAAAAAAAGGATGATTGGGGTGTCTCAATGCCTGGGTGTCTCAGTTGGTTAAGTGTCCAACTTCAGCTCAGGTCATGATCTCATGGTTCAGGGTTGAAGCCCCATGTTGGGCTCTGTGCTGACAGCTCAGAGCCTGGAGCCTGGAGCCTGCTCTGTATTCTGTGTCTCCCTCTCTCTCTGCCCCTCCTCCACTCATGCTCTGTCTTTGTCTCAAAAATAAATAAAACATTAAAAAAATTCAGAAAAAAGGATAATCAAAAAAGAAATAAGTTGACATCAGATCCTTTCTGATGTGATGAACTGAAAAGAACACTTCTGTGATATTCTTCCCCTAAATGTATAACCTGAATCTCATCAGGAGGAAACATCGGGCAGATGCAAATAAAATCTGCTGTCTCTGAGTGAAGGGTGTATAGGAATTTGTACTATTCTTCTAATTCTTAAGTTAGAAGTTATTTCAAAATTTAAAGTTAAAAAAATAGCTCTTGTCTCATCCACAATGTGGCTAATGATACCTACCTCAAAGAGTTGCAAAAGTTCAGTAAAATAATTATATAATTATTACATATGATTATACATTTTATAATGAATATATAATCCCATAAAGTGTTGAACTGCTGTCACATAATAAATGCTTGCTAAATGTAGATATTATTAAAATTGTCTCCTGCCATCCTCATCAGGATGGAAATACTACTGTCCTTGAAAACTACTGCAGAGCTCCAGTGTATGCAGCCTCCATAACCCACCCAGCCTTTACATTAATCCTCCAGAGGAGGGCCACCACGATAGAATAAGGCATGGCATAAAGATTTTGTTATACCCATTTTCCCCTGTCTTTCTACTCCTCATACATCCTAGCCGTGAATCTCAAGTTTCCCCAACAGAGTTGTCGGCCTTTTCTGAGTCAGGGTTCATTAACATGTTTTAATACTGACTGAGACACTGATTCAAATTCTTAGAGACATGAACTGATCACTTACTGTATAATAGGTACTGTGCTCTGTGCTTAGGATGAATAAGATGAATATATGAATGAGGCAAGTTCCCTGCTTTTAGAAGCATACAAATAACTACCGTTGAGTGGAATAAGATCTATGATGGGGGTAAACAGCATATGCTTCTCTGGGAGCCAAGGGAGAATTATTTAACTAAAGAGCAAAAAGGCAGTGTAGAAAGAGATGTTAATAGAGCTGAGTCTTGAAACTTGTGTAAGTGAGTTCTTAGTTTGGAAGTAAATTTCAGGTACAAGGAATATGTCACAAGGAGCATAGTCACTGAGGAAGGAGAGAACAGGGCATATTTAAGAAGATGGTATTTGGGGGAATGGTAATACCGGAGTTAGGAATCATATGTGAACATAATCATATGTCTGCATAAATATTTAGGTCTTAACCTGAGAACAGGCAATCTCACTGAAGTATTTTAATCAAGGAAGTGACATGATCTAAATTGCATTTAGGAAAATTACTCTGCACAATAAATGAGACATAAACCTAGGATGATGAGGTCGAGCTAGGGGCTACTATAGGAATCCAGGTAAGAAGTAATAAGACCTGAACATAAGCAAGACCAGCATATAAGGAGAGGAAGGGACCAACTCAAGAGATTATAAGGAATTAAGGGAAAACTACCATTAGGGAGAAGCAGTAGGCTAGGACAAGAGTCAAGGGCAGAACTCTACAGAGAACACCAACATTTAAAGACTCAGGTTGAAAAGGAATATTCAGAAAAGTAGAAGGAAAACCAGGAAAGAACAGTATCATGGACTCCAAGGAGTGTAGTTTCAAGAAGGTAGATAATGGTTAATGTAGCAGAGAAAATTAAATAATATAAGAGGGGAGTGGGTAGGGGGTACATCCAGGAGATCGTTGATGAACTTGGGGAGAGTCGTTTCAATGGGGTAAGATTCAGTGGCTAAATTCTATTTCTAGAAACTCAGGGAAAATAAAAAAAAAAAAGAAAAGAAAAGAAACTCAGGGAAACTCATGGTAACCCCTGGCTCTTTATTTTCAGGAAGAATTAAGTTGCAGTGATACGAAGGAAACTTTATTTTGTCCTGTATGAACTAAGGAAATGGTCTGAATTTTTCACTGCTAAGAATAATCTAGCTATATCAAGAAGTGACAGTGTAGGTACGAGAGGAACTTGGTAATAGCTTTTGACGTTCTGTGGCAAAAGGCTCCCCAACTGCTATTTTTAAGTTAATTGATCATGCTTTATTTTTACAGTATGGATGGATTTCGACTGGTGAAATTAAATGAGGTCATCCGACAAGTGGATATTGTTATTACCTGTACAGGTATGATTTTGACATATACAGTATACATTTTGGCACTTTTGAATGCTTTCGTGGAACAAGTGAAAAATTACTAGAAACTGTTCTGAATAAAACTAAACTCTAAAAGCCAGATATAAGGGGGGGGGCGCCTGAGTGGTTTGTTGGTTAAGTGTTCCACTTCAGCTCAGGTCATGATCTCACGGTTCACAAGTTTGAGCCCCACATTGGGCTCTGTGCTGACAGCTCAGAGCCTGGAGCCTGCTTCAGATTCTGTGTCTCCCTCTCTTTCTCTCTGCCCCACCCTCGCTTATACTATGTGTCTCTCAAAAATAAATAAAACCTTTAAAAAATTAAAACATAAAAAAAAATAAATAAAAGCCAGATACAGGGGCACCTAGGTGGCTCAGTCGGTTAAATGTCCAACTTTTGATTTCAGCTCAGGTCTTGATTTCACATCGTGAGATCGAGTCTCTTTTTGGACTCTGCACTGACAGCAAGGAGCCTGCTTGGGATTCTTTCTCTCCCTTTCTCTCTGCACACCCTCTGCTCCCTTGCTCTCAAAATAAATAAACAAACATTTAAAAAATAATAAGTAAAAAAATTAAAGCCAGATGCAGATTTCTATAAAACCAGTCAATCTTTCACATTCTTCCAACCTCTTTAGAGCTCTGACCAAAAGTATAAGTCATCTAGGTCATCCTGGAGAAAAGTTTCTCTCCATCCCTTTTAACTGTTCTATACCTCCATCCGTCCTCAACTACCAAGGAGATGACCAGAGGTAAGTTTTATTTGGGCAGCAGGATCTTATATTTGTACATTGATTTTTTTATTTGACCTCCAAAAGTAATGTATATTTCTCTCTAGTCTCTATAATTAAAGCAGGCCTAAAACAAAATTCAGTTAGAGAATGTGGGAAAGATAGCTATATTAATTCCCAAAGAGGTAGATTGGAGTTTTAGGGAGTGATATGCTAGATTGGAGTTTTAGGGAGGGAGGAATATGCAGAAATGGCTAGTTTCCTTGCACTGAGACACTTACTTTGTTTTTATGGTAGGACCATAAACTGATAGAACACTGGTTTTTATTTGTAATTATCTTTTAGACGAGGAAAATCAGAATATTTAAGAATAAAAATAGGGGCACCTGGGTTGCTCAGTCGGTTGGGTGTCAGGCTTCGGCTCAGGTCATGATCTCACGGTTCGTGGGTTTGAGCCCCACATCAGGCTCTGTGCTGACAGCTAGCTCAGAGACTGGAGCCTGTTTCGGATTCTGTGTCTCCCTCTCCTGACCCTCCCCTGCTCATGCTGTCTCTCTCTCTCTCTCTCTCTCTCAGAAATAAATAAAACATTAAAAAAATTTTTTTAAAAAAGAACAAAAATATATTTGTACTCTCAGGGTGAGATAGGGGCAGAGAAGAAACTGTTCTTGCTTCCCATCAATCCCTTCATAGCTTTTTTTTTTATAGCTTTATTGAGATGAGATTCACGTATTATACATCTCACCCATTTAAAGTGCACAACTCAGTATTTTCTAGCAAATTCACAGGGTCATACAACCATCACACAAATCTAATTTTTTTGAGATACCACATACCATACAATTTACCCTTTTAAAGTATACAGTTCAATGGTTTTTAGTGAAGTTGTACAATGTCTGATTCCAGAAACTTTTCATCACCCCACAAAGAAACTCCACACCACTAACAGTTAGTCCTTATTCTTTCCTCTACCTCTCCCCAGCCCTAAGCAACCACCAATTTCCCTGTTTCTACAGATTTGCCTATTCTAGACATTTCATATCCATGGAATCATACACTATGTGGTCTTTTGTAATGCTTTTTTCATTTAGCATAGTGTTTTTTCAAGTTTCATCCATATCGTAGTATGTGTCGATATTTCATTCCTTTTTATTGCTGAATTATATTTCATTTTAAGGATATACCACATTTTATTTATTAGTTGATGGACACTTGGGATGTTTTCGCCTTTGGGCTATTTTGAATAATGTTGCTATTATGAACATTGTGCAGAGTGTTTTTCTGTTAACATGTTTTCCATCCTTGTGAATATATATACCTGCCTATGTATACCTTGGAATTGCTGGAACATATGATAACTGTATTTTTAATATTTTGAGGAATTGCAAGCTTTTCCAAATAGACAGCACCATTTTACAATCCACCAAGAATGTGTGGGGGTTACAATTTCTCAACATCCTTGCCAATGCTTGTTATTGTCTGTTGTTTTTATTGTAGCCATCCTAGTAGGTGTGAAATTATGTTCTGCTGTGGTTTTGGTTCTTAAAGGCTTTTGTTTCTGAGTAATCTCTACTCCCAACCCCAAGATGAGCAGGGGAGAGGCAGAAAGAGAGGGAGACAAAGAATCCAAAGCAGGCTCTAGGCCCTGAGCTGTCAGCACAGAGCCCGACACGGGGCTCAAACTCAAAACATGAGATCATGACCTGAGCCAAAGTCAGACGCTTAACCGACTGAGCCACCCAAGTGCCCCAATGTGAAACATCTTTTCATGTACATTTTGGCACATCTTCTTTTGTACTTCTTCTTTTGAGAAATGTCTACTCAGATCCTTTGCTCTAAAAGAATTTGTTTATTATGTTTATTATATATGTATGTTTGTTTGTTTAGAGAGAGAGAGAGAAAGCATGCCAGAGAGTGGCAGAGAGAGGGGGAGAGAAAAATCCCAAGCAGGCTCCGCACTGTCAATACAGAGCCCAATGGAGGGCTCAAACTCCCACACTGTGAGATCATGACCTGAGCAGAAATCAACAGTTGGGCACTTAACTGACTAAGCCACCCAGGCACCCCCACTTTGCTCATTTTTAAATTGGGTTATTTGTCTTTTAAGTATGGAGTTGTAAGAATTCTTTATAAATTTTTGAAACAAATACCTTATCAGTTACATGATTTGTAAATATTTTGTCCCATTTATTTATTTGTAAATAAATATCCCAATATATGGGTTGTCTTTTCATTTTCTTGGTGGATCATTTGCAGCACAAGTTTATTTTTTCTTTGGTTGTTTGTGCTTTTGGTGTTATAGCTAAGAAAGCCTTGTCTAACCCAAGGTCACAAAGATTTATTCCTATGTTCTGCTAAGAGGTTTTTTTTTAATGTTTATGTATTTATTTTGAGAGAGAGAAAAGGAGACAGCTCACATGCCGGTGTCAGCAGGAGAGGGAGAGAGAGAGTCCAAAGCAAGCCCCGCACTATGGCGCAGAGCCTGATGAGAAGCTCAGTCTCACAGACTGTGAGATCATGATCTGAGCCGAAATCAAGAGTTGGATGCTTAATCAACTGAGCCACCCAGGCGCTCCCTGCTATGAGTTTTATAGTTTTAGCTCTTACATTTGGTCAAATTAAATTTCACATATGGTATGAGGTAGAGGTCCAACTTTCTTTCTTTCCATGTGGCTATCTCTTCTGTTTTTAAGGTAACAAGAATGTGGTAACCAGAGAGCACTTAGATCGTATGAAGAATAGCTGCATCGTTTGTAACATGGGACATTCCAACACAGAGATTGACGTGGTAAGATTAAATTACTCATTATTGGGGGCTTTTTTTTTTTCCTCTTCTTCCCAAGAAACATGAACTAGGAGAAGAAAGGAAAGAGTCACCAGCCATCCTGAACATGACCGCCCTAGCAGAGCTGTCCATAGTCTGTTCAGGTACTAGCCCTGTGACCTGTGCTTGTGGATACTATCAAGCTTTTTCATCTCAGTCATTTCAAATGATTATTTCCTTCCACCCTAGCTTGATACCTTCTTCCACCGTAAGCCATTTTATCTATCAGTTTGGTTCTCTAATTTGATTATATTCACCCTCAAATTATCCAGTCCAACATAATACTTGGTCCTACTAAGTTGCCCAAGTAATAGTTAATAGAAGTGTTATTTATTTCTTTTCAGACTTACCAAAGTATCTCTCAGTGTGACTTTCACTCTGGTTTTAAATTTTTATGGCATTTTTCTGACACAACTGTATTTCTCTCTGGGTAAATGGCTCAAGCAAAGCATGCTTTCATCTCCCCTGAGGGCTGCTCTGATTGAGCTCCAGCATTGGCAGGTAAGGATCAGTTGATCTATTGAGAGCCTGTTGGATAATATCTATTTTAAATGATTTCTCTTTTTAACTTGTGCTCTATTCTTCTGTTATTAAAAATAGCTGGAAATACTGAAGCCTATTTCCTAAGGTTTCTGAGTGGCATGGCTCCATTACTCTGTTTTATCATGATATTTTGCTCATAATGAGTCATTTCTTCTTTCAGTTTTGAAATTTAAATATTGAATGGGGTTTTTTTTGTTAAGTTTCACTTATATGCCATACTCCCCTTTACTAAACAGTCAAAGATAGTAATATTTCTAAAATTGTCTAGCACATGATTGTCCTTTCCTGGATTAATCTGCTTATAGAGCCCCCAGATGGGAAAAGGCTTAAGGGAAGTAGTCATGTTCTGAACTCTAAAAAGAATCTTCTGAGTAAGAGAAGAGGGAAGGAATTTTCTCTCCTAAAGCCTCAAGCGCTTAAATAAAAACAATGTAATCATATAATTTTTACATTTTTACTTAATCTTATTTCATCCTCCTGGCAGTATACAAGGCATTATTCTTATCCCTGATTTTCATTTGGGAAACTAAGAAGTTAAGCCCATTGTCCAGTCATATACATTGATTCAAAATTAAACTGGAGCACAAAATTCAGGGTTTTTAAAATTCTAGTCCAGTTTTTGTTTTATTCGGTTTTGTTTTCCTGTGCATTGTACTGTTACCTCCTCATGATTTCTAGGTTAACTTTAAATTGTGATGGTAATCTGTCTTCTAAAGGCAACCGAGATAGAAGTAATCTCTCAGGATAAAGCCCAGGAAACTCTATGTTCAATCATAAATGTGTATTGTGTGATTGCTATATGCCAGGTGCTATTCTAGATGCTTGGAGTCAGTGAACAAAACAGGCAAAGATTCCTGCCCTCAGAGAATTTATTACATTTTAAAGGATAAAAAAGACAATAAACATAATAAATTTATAGTATGTTAGAAGCTAAAAGCACATGGAAAAAAGAAAAAGTAGAGTCCAGTAAGGGGAATCAAGAGTGCCAGGTTATAATTTTAAAGAGTGGGATCAAGGTATAAGCGTCATTAAAAATGTGATGTTTGAGCAGACTTGAAGGAATTAGCAAATAGACTTTTAGGTGAAGAACATTTTGAGAACAGCCAGAGCAAATGCCCTAAGGCAAGAGTGTACCTAGTCTGTTTGAGGATCAACAATGAGGCCAGTGTGGTTTAAATAAATGAGCAAGAGGCAGGGAAAAGTGAAGATAAGGTCAGAGGGAATGGGCTGGATCTTATAGAGCCTCACAGGCCATCGTAAGAACTCCTGATTATATTCTGAAATAGGGTGCCATTATAGGATTTGTAATAATCTGTCTTCTAAAAATGGCTCACACTGGCTGCTGTGTTGATACTGGACCTAGTTTTTCAGGTATTGCTAGGTAGCCTCCAATATCTGGCACGGACACTAGCCAAGGGCAATGTCTCAATTCTCTTTGTGCTCTTCTTAGTAGAAGGTGTATGACTAAACTAAATGGTCCAAAAAGGGACAGGCTCAGAAGGGCTTTGGAAAAGTTAAATTACTCAACCTTTGATGGTAGTGTCACAGGACATATAAAATGAAATTTAAGGAAATAGCAAACTCGTCTAGTTGAAAGTGTTCATTCCCTATTTAATTTGTATTGAATAAGAATGTATGAAATAATTGCTCTGCTCTATGTTGAGTATTTATTGGCTGAAGAAATAGTGAACAGTATTCCTGCTCTCATGGTACTAATATTCTAGTGAGGGACACAGACAATAAACAGATAAGACAGTTTTGTCAGTTAGTGCCTAGTATGGAAGAAAAACAGCAAGGTGAGGACATTGAGGATGCTAGTTAGTTAAGGTGATCAAGGAAGGTCTCTTTGAGGAGATAACATTTGAACAAAAACCTGAATGAATGGAAGGAACAAGGCATCTGAGCATTCTATTCAGAGAGAATGGTGAGTAAAAAGACGCTGAGTTAGAAACATGCTTGATGTTTGAGGAACAGAAAAGAGGCCATTGTGGCAGGAAAAGGATGGGGAAAGGGATGAGAATAAGAGGAGTGAAGGAGGGCAGTGGGTTATGTAGGCCACTGTAGGCCACAATAAGGACTTCAGATTTTATTCTGGGCATGGTGGAAGCCATTGGAAGCCATTCAAGCCACACCTAGCTGGCTCAGTCAGTAGAGCACGTGAGTCTTGATCCTGGGGTTGTGAGTTCAAGCCCCACCATGAACGTAAAGATTACTTTAAAAAAAAAAAAAGAAGAAGAAGAAGCATTCCAATTGGAAAGTTTTGACCAGGTAACTGAAAAACTCTGACTTGTTTTAACAGATTACTCTGGCATGGGGTAAAGAAAACACTTCTGGAGCTTGAGTAGTGATAGGGACAGTAAAGGCTCTTTCAGTATTTCCAGTGATAGAAGGTGGTAGCTCGGATGACATGAGTAAGCAATAAAGGTAGTATATTGTGAACGTAGACCCAGTGGGATTTGCTAAATGGCTTGAATGCAGAGAGTGAAAAAAAGAGGAGAATCTCTGTGTTATCTCAGTGAAATTGCAAAGGAGAATGATTCAGTAAATTTTTGCCAGATATTTTTAGCAATCAAAAATATAAGGGTGTTTTGTTTGGTTTTGTTTGTAGGAATTTATAGTTTTTCCTAACCTGGAGATGTTCACTGCTACATTTCTAGGAAGGAATAGCTCATCAAAAGAATTGGTCATTTAGAAAACTGCATTTTTTTCCTGCTGTAAATACTTAGGGAACATGTGATAGGATTGTGCTCTTAGCTGCCTTTTGGCCATGTCTTTCTTTGATATGTTTCCTTTCCTCTTGAAAACAGACCTGTTTACCCATATGCATCACATAGATGGCCTTTATGATTGTAAGCTTCACACTTCAAGTGGCTAAACCATCATGTACACTGCTTTAAAAGTTTTTGCCAGCAAAAGAACTAGAACCTGAGACTTGCTATTGACTCTGCACTTTGCAGGACTAGAACTACAGTTGTTTCCCTAAAAAAAATTGATATGTACTATCAAAAATCATATAATACCAGTCTGTGCAAGCACGGTAATTTACAGTGAGATATACACTTGTTTGGGAACATAGTCTCCGTAAGGAATCTTTTTCCTGATAGACTGCTTAGTGGTTGTAAATCAACAGAAAAGATAATTTGATGCTTTTAAGAGAAACTCTTATAAAACTGTGCTGGCCATTTTCCTTGAGGAAATCCTTCTCCCAAGGACTGTCACTGCCAGATAAACTTACTAGGTTATTGGAGCTGCCTGGGCAGTGTTAGAGATAATTTAACTTACTGTCTCTTAGTATCTCCCTGTTTTAAACTGACCCTCGAGTCGGTCTTATGCTTGCACAGTCACCATCCCAGTGCCCCAGCACACTGCCTCAACAAAGCATTGATCTTTTATGATGTTCCTAAGAAGTGTCTCTTCCTTGATTCCACCATATCCTAAGAGAGGAGACTCCTTTTTTTTTTTTTTAATTTTATTTATTTCTAGGAGAGAGAGAGACAGCGTGAGCAGGGGAGGGTCAGAGAGAGAGGGAGATACAGACTCCGAAATAGGCTCCAGGCTCTGAGCTGGCAGTCAGCACAGAGCCCGATGCGGGGCTCGAACCCACGAACCACAAGATCATGACCTAAGCGAAAGTCGGACGCTTAACCTACTAAGCCACTCAGGCGCCCCGACAGGAGACTCCTTTTATCATGGTGTCACCCTTTACTGCCAATCACTAAGATTGCTTGTCCTCTGGAAAATTACAAGTGTGAGACACCAAACCTAAAATACTTTAAATTTCCGACATCTCAATAAAAAAAAATGCCAGGGTCAAAAGGAGTATCTTTTGACTCTTGCCTTCTATGTTGTTATTTCTGAAGGCTAATGGATTTACTTTGTATATCCTTAACTTCCCAAAGTGGTCTATTTTCTTAAATTCTTTTTAACTCTATTTACAGTGTTTGTTTAAAAAAATGAATTCTAACTGTAAAGTGATAATTGCCTTTTTTTATTGAGAAAGAGAGACCGAGCATAAGCAGAGGAGAGGGGCAGAGAGAGACAGAGACAGAGAGAGGACCTTAAGCAGGCTCCACAGTCAGCATGGAGCCAGATGCAGGGCTTGATGTCACGACCTTGAGATCATGACCTGAGCCTAAATTAAGAGTCAGACTTGAGTCACTTACCAGCTGAACCTCCCAGGTGCCCTAATAGTTGCTTATTTTAAAAATTCAAGGGGCGCCTGGGTGGCTTAGTCGGTTAAGCGTCTGACTTTTGCTTAGGTCATGATCTCGCGGTTCGTGGGTTCGAGCCCCGCGTCGGGCTCTGTGCTGACTGCCAGCTCAGAGCCTGGAGCCTGTTTCAGAGTCTGTGTCTCCCTCTCTCTCTGACCCTCCCCTGCTCACGCTGTCTCTCTCTCTCCTAGAAATAAATAAAAATTAAAAAAAAAAATAAAAATTCAAGCAACATAAATATGTTTAAGAAATAAAACATTTACAAAATTGAGGTTATAGTATATTGTTTTGCAACTCTGTGTTTTCACTTTACAATAATGAATGGTTTTCATGTTAACACATATAGATCTGCTTTTTAATATAAGAATTGCATAATATTCCATTGTATGAAATTACCAGATTTACTTAGCTATTCCTTTGTTAAATTAAATTTTTTGCTATTACAGATAACACTGGATTGAACATTCTTGGGCACTTATATTTATGACCTTGAGCAAGTGTTTCTATAGTATAGAGCCCTAAAGGTGAAACTGATTGGTCAGAGATTAGGTACATACAAAATTCTGTTAGCTACTACCAAATTGCTCTTTCTGTTGAACCAAATTACGAAACTTGGCATCTCGAGACATTTTATATTTCCCATCTACCTAATAAAGAAATGGTCTAGATCATCAGTACAGTCCTGAATATACTGAAATTATATTTGTCTTTCCCACATGATTGGTAATTAAAAGATAATATAGTCCCCATCTATAAATAGCTCACAATCTAGTAGAGGAGTCCCCAGTTTTGTCTATAACAGTGTCCTTTACTACATCACCTACAATATAGAATGTACTCAGCAAATGAGTATTGTATAACTAAAGTATTTCTCTCTTTGTCTGACAACTACTGTTTGGCAGATCCTCTCAATTTTACCAGCTGAGCCAAAGGTTGGTTTTAGAATATGGACTCCCTTTCTATTTTAGGAATGGCCTATTGGAAGAAGGAAGTTGTTGTCTTAAGTCTAAACCCTGTGACTGTTATTTATTTGATTGCTGCTGTTAATAAACTTAACATTTCTTCTCTTGTTCTCGGAATATACAATATACAGAAATGGAAAGAGGGTGAGCTGTTGGGAGCTTTACTCCGCCATTAAGCATTTCTCTAAAGGCTGCCTCACATTTGCACTTAGGTCACAAAGCTTCTGTAACTTTAGGGTGAACCACCACCATTGACCAGGTGGAACCCGGGGCACGAAGATAAGAAAGCAGAACTTCGGGCCCCAGCATGCTACATTTAGGAGGACCGGCCTTCTCTAACAAGTCTCACTTAGCTCTGATCCTCCTTTTTTCTGTTTCTCTTCAGCATTGGTGTATTCAGTTTGCTTTGTATTAATTTGCGTTTGTTTGCACGTTGCTTTAGAAGTATTTTAGAGGCTTTTTCCTCCTCACATATTGTTTTGTGTCCCCACCTAAAGGATGAGCTTTTTGAAGGCAGAAACCACGTCTTCGGTTTGTATTTCCCATAGCACCTTTTACTGTGCTCAGCAGAGAGTGGGCGCACGGTACATGTTGTGGAATGACATCCTGAGTGATCCCTCCCTGGCTGGGCCTAAGATTAAATACCCTGACATGGAACAGTCCTAACCAACCTGGGACAGGTATTCTCCATCTGGCATGTTGGTTGCTCCTTTCAACTTGCTATTTGAAATGGCTTCCTTCGACCTCTTCCATCCACAAAGTGGGACAAGCCAGGGCCGATGATGTATTTGTTTGTATGTGTTCCAGGCGAGTCTGCGGACACCAGAACTGACCTGGGAGCGAGTGAGATCCCAAGTTGACCATGTAATATGGCCTGATGGCAAGAGGATAGTATTGCTGGCAGAGGTAGGACCGAAGACTGGTAAGAGAAATTCACCCCTGCCAGGAGAGCCTGCAAAATCCAGGTCCCCTCCTCCACAGGCTCTCTCAGGTTCAGCTCCTCTTGAGCACAAGCTTAACTCCTTTCCCAATGCATTTTACATCTGATTGTGAAAGGTCTTTTCATTCAGCAATTAAGAAACTATTTTGGTTCCTTACTTTTCAGCAATTATCCTGTCTCTCTATGTCAATCTACGGGTTGAGTCAGATAATGACAATTACTGTGGAAGAATTAACAGATAGAACCAATGCCACTTTGAGTGATGCTTCCAAAGAGATAATGTCATTTGCAGGATGGCTTAATCAGTAAGCACAAAGCAGATATTCCTGACGGTACCTAAGACTGTTGGAGGCAAGCTCGAGGAAAGTCATGTCTTTGCAGATAGACTCCATGTTTTTGAGTGACATTCCTCTGAGTTGAGCCTGATGTTCAGTAGGCACCCAGCTATGTATTGGTTGTGTGATTAACATTTCCCTGTCCTGACTTCTTCTGGCTCAGACTCATTCTTCACTTTCATCCCACTTAGCCTTCTGTGTCAGTGTTTGGCTACTTTTCCTTTCTTGAAAGCTTCTCTTCCCTAGTCTTAGATTCCTGACAGCCATATTGATGCCTCTTGTTCTTACCTTGACAGTTTCTCTCCTTCAGAGAAAGATACCAAAATAACAAGAACGATAATAATACTTTTCTTGAGTTTTGATTTTCAGTCAGTTTTCCTTCCTTTTTTTTTTTAATTAAAGAAACTGAATATGAAAATGTAAAAGATATACCATCTTCACCTAGGGACCCTTAAATTTATGCTTGAGTATCCTTTCTGTTCTCTTTACCTTTTTTCACCTTATCTCACCTTCTCACATACTTTAGGGCATCTGTAAGGGACTGGATTACTTCTTCACAAGAAAGGAGCATGTACAGGGAAGGGAAGAGCAGGTTGTTAAATATTCATTAATTGCTTTTATATCAGCCAGCTGTCTGGTGACTTATTTCTAGTTGCCCTGGGAGGTCGCATCTAGTAATTTGGGTGACAGAAGCAAGCACCACAATTGTTTTTGGGTACTGTGTTTGAGCAAAAAGGTGGTCAAGCTTCCTTGGAAACAAAATAGGAAAGGATCACAATCTCCAATAGCCTCCAGCCCTTGTATTCTCTGAATCACCCACTAGAAATACAAGAATACCCTTGAATTCAGGAGAACCAAACTGAGGAAGAAGCACAGAAATCATCACAGCTTCCTAAGTCCAGAGATACTTCCCCTCACAACCCGGAGAGGTTACCCCTGGACTTGACTACATCCTTGTTTCCAATAATCTTTCAAAGGAATGCCAGTACCTGAGAACTGTGGCAGAAAGTAGAAAATTCAAGAGAAACATACCCTTCCTTAGCATAAGCCTCAGTATCATGTGACCATCTCTATTCCTTTGTACATGCATAATCCCAGAGATCTCTTATCTATTACCTTCATCAGATTTTCCAGAAGTTTTAAATTCCACTTAAATGGCAACCAATTCATTTCTATTTATTGAGCACCTGCCTTTTGTCCAGCAATGTTAGTTGGGAAGTATTTGGGAAATGTGCTCATCCTTCACTCCTCAAGGAAAGACTTTGTCCTAACTCATCTGTGTCCTAACCCTTGCTCTTCAGGGCCGTCTGCTGAACCTAAGCTGCTCCACAGTGCCTACATTTGTGCTCTCAATCACCGCTACTACTCAGGTAGGGCCTCCAGAGTGGGAAAGCAGGGGGCTGGAGAGGGTCATCAGGCCATCAGGGTTTCACTTGATGTGACACATCAGCACCCATCTCTCTGCTTTTCTAGGCTCTTGCCTTGATAGAGCTTTACAATGCTCCTGAGGGTCGCTATAAGCAGGATGTCTACCTGTTGCCCAAGAAAATGGGTAAGCATGTGCTCTTCCATCCTTATCCTTACCAGAGTAGTTCAGAGTTAGAGGCTAAATGAAGTTTGGGGCACTAAATTTCTTATGGATGGGGGGAAAAAGATACCTGTGTCTTATAAAGGAGGAGCTAGGATTCCTAAGTTCCATTCCTGGTTGATTTATCACATTTTCCACATGAGTTGTCCTAGTGAAATCATTACATTTTGCTCTGATTTGGCTTGCCTACCTGTGAATTTTAAGGATTTTTTCTCTTAAAGTATCTTATATGCAAGGATCTCAAAGGAGAAAAAAAATCTTCCCCTAAGAAAGAGGACTCATCTTCTACCTTGTGACATCTTATTCCGGTTCTAGGCTGCTGCATAGCCCCTTCCAGACTTTCCTGACCAAGACTTTTCATACTATATCTTCTAACTCTGGTCTCACTGTCAGGGCCAAAGGAAAGACTAAATAGCTTCTGTTAAGACTAGTTACGTGGGTGTTTCATATAAGAGAAACATTAAACTCTTGAATTTTTAAAGAACCTGCTTTAAGCACCTGAACTGATACAGTGCGTTTATAAACTCCTGAGGCAAAGATCATGGAATAAATCAGCTTCTGGTATTGTTTTGCTTTAGCACTAGATGCGTAGCAACTGTTAGAAGTTGACATATTTTCCCTTTAATATATCCTTTGGAAGGATAGAAAAGAAATAGAACAGTTTATATTTTGGCTGAATATATGATGAAGTTAGGAAGACCAAATAAATACTTAGGAAAATGACATAAAATTCTGACTAATATGTATTCAGGTAATAGAATGTAAACAGAACCTATAACTAAGAACACTAAAAGCAAAGAAAACAGTGTATTATCATTCTTGGACTTTCCTTTCCAGTCTCCTCAGGTATTAGTTTTTCTGAGTAACCCAAAGTACAGAGTCTAAGGCAAAACTAAAGTTGGAGTTTCCCATTTCTTAGTCCCTTGCTATCCCATCCTTTCTTTTAGATCCTAAGAACTATTGCTTCTTTCATGTCTCCTTTACCTTTCTGGGGAAAAGGAAAGATTCAAGGATGAAACAGCTTATAAGAAAGAAGTGTTATGGTTTTGAAAAACACTGGGCTTGAAGCTCAAACAACCACTCCTTAGAATTCTGGGCCAGTGAGCCAAAGCTGAGCATTTTTCTTTCAGCTCCGAGAATTAGAAGGTGTCTTCAACTTAAAAAAAAAAATTGTTTTTGATGTTTATTTATTTTTGAGAGAGAGACAGTGTGAACGGAGGAGGAGCAGAGATAGAGGGAGATACAGAATCAGAAGCAGGCTCCAGGCTGAGATGTCAGCACAGAGCCTGACGCGGGGCTAGAACTCACTAGCCATGAGATCATGGTCTGAGCCGAAGTCGGGCGCTCAACCGACTAAGCCACCCAGGCGTCCCCCGTCTTCCAACTTTTTAAGGCCTAGCCTGGAGAGAACAGCCAGACAAGAGGCATGAATGTTTATACCAGGGCTTCTGTGGTCTGTTCCAGATGAGTATGTGGCGAGCCTACACCTGCCCACCTTTGATGCCCACCTGACAGAGCTGACAGATGAACAGGCCAAGTATCTGGGACTCAACAAGAATGGGCCTTTCAAGCCTAATTACTACAGGTGCCTTGCCCTCCCCCAAACAGGGAAACCCGGGTGGTAAAGAGCTTTCTGCACTGGAATTGGTCTTTATAACTTTTACTACATTTACATGAACTCAGAAAAATAAACCCACTCCCCATCAGTACCGCCCCCAAAGGACTCTTTGAGGCTTTCTCTAGACATTATATAGGGTTCCCTTTTCTGAATTTGCCTTTCTCCATTTCATCTTCATAATATTATTTTTACCTCTTTATGGAGAAATATTGGTCATTTTCACTGATGTGAAAAAGCACCACAAGTATTTACCCTCACCATCCATTCCAGAAAAGTCCCTGTCTCCCTGCTGTACCTTTAGGTGGGCTCTTCCTGTCCCAGCATCCTCACAAGTTGATAACATCACAGTCTCATCTTTCTTTCTCCCTCTAGGTATTAAGTTCCTGTAATTCAAGCCAGAAGAAGTTTTAAGGAATAGAACTCCAAGTCTTTTCTCCACTCCTATACAGGAAAGAACCCAGCAAGCTGCTTCTCCAATCAGCTGCCCGCCGTGCTCACCCTACATGTTAGGTTATTTATTTATTAAAACCTAGAATCCTGTGCCTGTTGCCTTGGCCCAGAGTGTGGTTACTGCCCCGCGGGCTGTGAGAGCCACAAAGGACAGGCTGAGGAAGGAAAGAAATGGGGTAATCCTTCCCAGTGCATCTTTTGCATCATTCCCCATTGACTTGGAATCCTCAGCAATGGTCATTTGTCTCTTGTCCAGGTTCAGGAGATAGTCCAGGGATTCCAGACTCCTTGTTCCCTGGGGTTTTTAGAATAAATTTTCAGCAGCTGCCTTTCTCAGCTTTGGCCCTTCCCCGGGTTAGGCCTTTTGGAAGCTACCGAGTTAAGATGGCCTGGGTTCCCAGCCTTGACCGTCACTATCACTGCCTTCTTTATAAAATGACCAAGAAGGAAGGAGTGCATGTTGTGGCTTTGGCAAGCTACACCAAGAACGAAGCTATGCCTATGCTTACTTGGAGTCTCCTTCCTTACCCAGGACTCCTTTCTTCCTTGAATAGTCATGTCTATTTTAACACTTTCTGTTTCCAAGAGGGATGTGCCTCCATTATTTCCTCAGCAGCTCTGCTGTTTGTCAGACATTTGTTCTGCCATCTTTCTAACCCAACTAACCTCTGTTCAGTGGCCAGCCCACTGGGGCCCATAGTTTTACTTGTCATTTAACTGGACAGTTTCCTGGGAAGTTCCCTCTAGACTGGCACTGTCTCAGAAAAGGAAAGAAACTGCTTCCTGAAATTTCCTCTTATTGCCTAAAACTGACTTTAAAAGTGAGCAAGGAAAGATGTACCTTCCAATGGATTTGGGGGTGTAGGGCTCTGGAAGTGGCACAGATCACTCAGGCCCACAGCTTGACCCTCTAAAGAAGCAGAATGTATTGATTTGTCTCCTGGGAAGAGCTCTTCAGCTAAACTGGCTAAGCTATACAGAGATGACACTGTAAACTGTGTCCAAATGATTAAAGCTAGTTTGACTAGTTTGAACTTCATCAGGCGTTTCATTTCTTTGGCCATTGCCATTGATGAAACTGGGATCTGATGGCTCTACGATTTAGTCTGTGGTTTTTCTTTTCTGCTGGGATATGTTTTTATGTTCTTGCCTCTTCCATCTTAAGATTCTATAATTCAGAAGTAGCTTCTTGAGTAACTCCAACATTACAAAAAAACTAGTAATCCAAGCAGCCTGAAATTTTGTGTCCCACGTAAGAGTTGGATACCTTTTAGAGACTGACCTGTCGGTCTTAAGGGTTTCACTGGGACCAGACTTGTTCTAAGAGTTAAAGTCTGGAGTGGCCCTAGAAATCTTGAATGAAGTGAGTCTCTTTCCCCGCTGACAACCTTGTTTAACACTCTCATGTTCGTTCGTTTATTTTCCCATTATTTTTTTTTTCCTACCCTGGTCTGCCTCATAGTCTCAAGACGAAGGTGCCTCAAGGAAACACCACCAGACCAGGATCACTATAACCTTCCCACCCTGATTCTCTTCTCCTATCTTCACTTTCTGCAACTTGCCCTGGTCTTCACATACACTTTCAGAGCTAGTCTGGAAGTGACCTTCCTTTTGGAGGTAGAGAGGTGGGGCTTCGGATAAATGGCTGTTCCTAGAGAGTCTGGTTCCTTAAAGGCTTTCTGTCTTAGCACATACCGGAAACGTGCCACATATATGGCTATATTGAGGAAGATTGTAAATGCTGAAAATTCTACTAGTCCACTCCGTTCTTCCTTTTGCCTACCCAGCATCTCTTTTGTATTAGTTAATTGGATACAGATCTTTGTAACTTATATCAAGGGCAGATTACACTAGGTAGATATTTGGACTCTAGCCTGTTATGTTCATAAGCCAAAAAGCATAACTCACTGTTTCTCAGTAAAGCCTACTTCTTTAGGGAGCAGTATTACTGTGTACTGATCCTGACCAAGCACACCCTGCCTTGTTACAGTGAAGAGACCCATTCTGAATAAAAAAGGAGCCACCTTTGGGCCTCTACGTTTGGTTGCCAGTGTTGCTGCCCATGGTGAGATATTTGCCTCTGTTTCAGATGACCTTCTTTCCTTTCTCTCTGGGGACCCCATGTCATCAGCCATTAAGAAGAAAGAGGCCCAGGCCTCCTGAGTATTTGAGTTCTACCTTAGTGTTGGAATTTGGTCATTATTCCCTCTACCCTTGGAATCAGAACAAATGTGTCTTCTTCCCTCAAGCTCTCACCTTAGATGCATCCTAGGTATCTGGAAGCATAGGACAGAAGACTAATTATCTGTTTGTATATGACCCTGGCTGGTGGGGATACTTACCATTTTCTCTGCAATGAATTTCTGCTAGTTTTCAAGGTCTCTTTTGCCTTCTTCATGGAAATTCAGGGTTTTGTTTTGTTTCTCATTAAAAAACAAAAAAAGTATCTGGTCTACCTTCTGTCTGCCCTCCTACCTCCTCACCCTACCCTCCCATATGAGCACGGCTCCCCATGGCCACATACTCCTGCAAAGCTTTTTTGCTGCTCGGCTTTTCTCTAAACAGATCTGAAATTGCTGCTCCTGTGGTTTTTCTCAAAATTAACTTTGTCATGGTTTTAAAAAAAAGAAATCAAAATGCATTGTTGCATTAAGCTTTTTTAATAAAGGAAAATCATGGAAAGAAAATAGGCAACACCAGCAAATTATATGTAGAGAATAAACTAAACCATATATATATAATATGTATATATTATATATATAATCATCTAGTTCTCATTGTCATCTTACTGAAAGGAAATAAAACCTCTAAGGATCGCCATTTCTGAGAGGCTCTTGGAAATCTTTAAGTCTAAGTGATTGTATTAGATCAGCAATAATGACTATGTAATCTCTAAAGATAAATAAAATATTCTTAAAATGGATTCTTATCTTGAGAGTATTGCTTCCTTCTGTGAACTTGGAATACAAAGATGAGCGATGGTTCTTGGCAACAGGCTGGAGAACCTGCTGCAGGGCAAAGATGTGAAAAGTTGAAGTGGTTACCAGTAGCATATTTGAATGGCCTTAGCCTGGGGTCCCTTCTTCCAAGGTAGGCCATTCCACTAATATCTTCCCCCCAACCCACCCCCTGGTTATGTGTGTAAAGAACCTGCTCTCTCAGAACCATCACCCTGGGGAGTTGAAGCATACAGAGAAACTAAAGTGTGGTTCTAGGTCCCCCAAGCCCTCTGTGTGCTGCCCTTAGCTAGACAGCACAAGAAGCCCACATCCATGGTTTGGGATTAAAGGGTCCTGACCTCCAGAACTTGACTACGTCCAACCAAAAGGAAGAAATAAATTAATCTGACAGAGATTTGTTTCCAAGTCAGCTTTTACCTGAATAAGTCAGAAACTAAAGGGTGAATCCAACTGCCTCTTCTTCCTCAACTACCAGTAGAGTGGCCATTTTTGAGCAGCTTTCTAATAGCCACCTCTCTTAGTTGACAAACTAAACTAGTTCTTCCTGTATGCAAGATGTTTTCTTCCCTCTTAGAACCTTCTGCTACTTTGACTTAATGTTTACTTAAGGGCTAAAACAGTCCAGGCAGTTGGTAATGGGTCAAAGCTGGTGCCACTCCAGTTCAGGAGAAGGAGAGTGCAGTGGCTAGCAATGAAGCCAATGAGCCAGCTGGCAGGTGTCACCCCCACTGACAGCAGGGCTTGGCTCTTCTTCTGTGAAAGATGGGAGGTTGGGTGTCTGGCTCTTAGTTTCAGACTCACAGGGTGAGCCCTGACTATGCACTGCTGTGCAATTTCTCTAGCTTGTGGGCCTGTGGAAAGAGACTGGACTTTTTAAGTCAGGTTCACTTGACTAGCTCTTCCATTTACAAGTTGCGTTATTTGACCAATATTATATAATGACTCAGAGCCTTGGTTTTCTTGCCTGTGAAATGGGTATTGCTTATCTCCTAGGGTAAGGATTTAACAATCTCATTTAATTTTTAAAATGCTGCTTAAAAATCTGGCACACACAGTGTGCTACACAAACATCAATTCCTTATCTCAGTCTAGGGTCCTAAAGCCTCTGTTGCCTCATTATACCCACAAGTGTAGCATTGACGGGAGAGGAAGCTATTCTGTCCTTTTTCAACCACGTCATTCTGGCTGCCCAATGCCCTCAAAAATTAGATACTATAAGACTTTCTGCACCTTATGTTTTTTTTTTTTAATGTTTTATTTATTTCTAGGAGAGAGAGAGACAGCGTGAACAGGGGAGGGTCAGAGAGAGAGGGAGTCACAGACTGAAACAGGCTCCAGGCTCCAAGCTGGCAGTCAGCACAGAGCCCGACGCGGGGCTCGAACCCACGAACTGCGAGATCATGACCTAAGCAAAAGTCGGATGCTTAACCGACTAAGCCACCCAGGCGCCCCTGCACCTTATGTTTTTTTAAGCGTTTGTTTATTTTTGAGAGTGAGACAGAGCGTGAGCAGGAGAGGGGCAGACACACACACACACACACACACACACACACACACACACAGAATCCAAGCAGGCTCCAGGCTCTGAGCTGTCAGCACAGAGCCAAACACGGGGCTTGAACCCATGAACCATGGGATCGAGACCTTAGCCGAAGTGGACTCTTAACTGAGGCACCCAGGTACCCCTCTACATCTTATTTTTGGTTTTGTTTTATTTTTATTTTTTATTTCTGAGAGAGAGAGAGACAGTGTGAACAGGGGAGGGTCAGGGAGAGAGGGAGACACAGAATCCGAAACAGGCTCCAGGCTCTGAGCTAGCTGTCAGCACAGAGGCCAATGCGGGGCTTGAACCCACAAACGTGAGATCATGACCTGAGCCGAAGCTGGACGTTTAACCAACTGAGCCACCCAGGCGCCCCAGTCTGCATCTTATTTTTAAGCTCCATAATAAGTGCTGTCTAATTTAATCAATTGTCTGATTAAAGGGATATGTTCGGTCCTTATAATTATACCCATTTATACCTCTGCCAGCAGCCCCCAAATGCCTGACTTTGGGGACAAGGAAAAGTGATAGTGTTAATTTAAAAATTATTCAGCACTGGAGCCATCTCTGTAAGATAGAAAAACTTGTAGACCAGCCCCTGACTAATTAGCCCTCAGGTATATGTATGGACGCCTCTGCGGTCAATGGTATTGAGGGCTAGCACATCTTTGTTGACCAATAAGCTAAAAGAAGTTCAGGGGCGCCTGGGTGGCTCGGTAGGTTGAGCTTCCGACTTTGGCTAAGGTCACGATCTCACGGCTTATGGATTCGAGTCCCATATCGGGTTCTGTGCTGACAGCTCAGGGCCTGGAGCCTGCTTTGGATTCTGTGTCTCCCTCTCTCTCTTTACCCCTCCCCTGCTCATACTCTGTCTCTCAAAACTAAATAAACATTAAAAAAAAAAAAAAAAGAAGTTCAGTGTGTGCCAAGTCCATGGCCTATAATTTCAAAGTTTTTGGTTCATCTGTGGTTTCTTGTTACTTCTTCCAGGATTTGTTTCCAGATACCTTTTTTCTTATGACTAGTTCTGAAAGTGGGCCTATAATGAGCAGACAGATGTCTGATCTTTACTGTGTCCCATTTCACGGGGTGTAGAGAAGATAATGGATTGAGGTCTCTTGTTTTGATTCTCTGCAACACAACATCTCCATTAACACCAGTTTTTCAAACCCCTTCTCTGAAAGTGAAGCCAGATGGAGCTCTAGGCTTAGCAATTAGCTTTGCATAGAGGCCAGAGAGGACTTGAGATGTGTCTTCAGTCCTCCCTCCCAACTGAAGCCAGTTTGAGGCTTTGTTCCTTTGCCCAAGGTATACACTGGAAAAGGAACAAAGCCTCAAAACTGGCCACTCCTATCAGATGCCACCACTTCAGGGATCCTAATGATTGACTAAGCTCACAGAAGAGACGATGAAGTTCTGGGCCTATCAATCCTAGAACTGCTTAGGAGGACAGGAATTGAGAAGAGGAAGATAGAATAATTATTCTTTTATTAAGAAACCCTAATGGGCTGTGCAGTGGCAGGTTTACCACACTGCAGCAGTGATGAGCTAGGCGTGGGTTGTGAATTTTAAAGCAGAGTGTGAATGTTTTAGAGTTTAACAAATTATACCCTTAAAACCATTTTCCAAAATCAAATAGTTTAGGCCTCAAGCCATGGACTTTCTTGGAAATTCAGGTCATTTCAATTCTGTTAAACCAGTAGGTCTCAACTGCAGAAGATAACTGCCCCTCAGGAAACATTGCCACATCTGGAGACACTTTTGGCTGTCACAACTTAGGGAAGGGTACTACTGGCATCTAGTAGGGAGAGGCCAGGGACTCTGCTAAACATCCTACAATGCATGGAACAGCTCCCCACAACAAATTTTTCAGTCACTATTCCAGAAATCTTGTGTTAAACATACATATATGAGGTATACAAAATGAACAAAACTTGGCCCTACTTTCAGGGAACTTCTACCACATTGAGGGAAAGGTTGGGAATGGGAGAGGAAAGGGAAAATTAGTACAATAAGTGAGTACAGTAAGGAGATGTTGGGGACAGAAGAGAAAGTAACTGAGAAAGCTCCAAGGAGTTCTCTCAACTGTGCCTTCATCCGTTACCTACTGACTAGCAGAGGAAAGTCTGAGGGAGAAATATGGTTAAGAAAGAGACAGAGCTGTTTGTGAGATATAAGGAGGGGGAGTAGTAATTCCTTTGAGCCTCTTATTTTGGGGATATAGTAGAAAATACAAGAATTTTGAATCCAAGCAGACTTGGCGTGACACCCACACAGCCTGAGCGGGTTGAGTACAGCCAAAAGGAAGGCATTCTGGAAGAGGAGGTAATAATGAAATAGAATCATTACGGAACAATAGAAGTTAGCCAAGAAGAAGAGCAGAAAGTTTTTCCAGAAAGAACAGCAAATACACTTAAATAAAATAGAACACCATACCTTGGGGGTGGGGGGGAGGGTAGCTCAGTGGGTTAAGTGACCGACTTCGGCTCATGTCATGATCTCACAGTTTGTGTGTTCTAGCCCCACACTGGTCTCTGTGCTGACAGCTCAGAGCCTGGAGCCTGCTTCAGATTCTGTGTCTCCCTCTCTCTCTCTGCCCCTCCCCAACTTGTGCTCTCTCTCTCGCAAAAACAAATAAACGCTAAAAATTAAAAAAAAAAAAAAAAAAAGAACACCATACCTTGGGAACTGCAAGAAGTAATCTCTGAGCCTTGGTTTTCTCAACAGTAATACAGGATTAGTGGAAACAACCTGTCAGAGCAAATGATGTCTGAGAAGTTTCTAGTGCAATGCCAGGAACAAAGTGGCAGTTCAGCAATTCCCCCAATCCCACCCATTTCCCTCAGGCTGCTGGTTTGGGACTATTTACTGTAAACAACTTTTTAAGATAAATTGGCTGACTACACAGCCTCCTTTGTATCGAGCCCTCAGGAAGGATTTTAGGGGAAGGAAGCAAAGTACTAGGGAGCACACGGGGGTTTGCTCTGCACTCAACATTTTTCTCTAGCTCACACTTGAGGAAGGTGCCCTACTTCAGCAGAGAAAGGTAGATGACCAGAAGCAGCCCTGAAGGGCACCAGCAATTTCAGTGAAGTGAAAACGCCCCACCCCACCCCACAACCCACCATCTCCCAGTCTAGCCCTCACTCCAGGCGGGATGAGTTCTCGAGAAATCTGAGAGGGCAAATCTCTCGTTGCCTTCGGTGTCCCTGGCCACCCGGCGGTGCCGTGCCTCCCCTGCGACGGAATCGGGACTGGGGGCGTAATACGAGAGCTAGGACAGACATCTGTGGTAATGGGGAAACCGAGACTGCAGTGGAGCAGGAGGCGGAGACTAGAGCTCCCCGAAAAGGTCGCTATTTGGGAGGGGGAGAGTGCTGAGTGAAGCTAAAAGATAACCTGCCAAAGCTCGAGGACCAGAATTCGGGAGGTAGAGCCCGGAGCCTACCCCAGAGCCTAAAGCTACCAGCAGTGCGGCAGGACTTAAAAAAATAGGAGGGGAGGGGAACATCCCGTGAATGAGCCCCCCCGCCCGCCTCCAAGTCCCGCTTCGAACAGCCGAGTAACCAATCGCGCTGCGGGGCGGGGCTGCGGAGCGCGACCGCAGCCAATAGCTGTGGGGAGGGCGGGGCCTGGATCCCCGCGCGCGGCAGCGGGGTCGCCCCGGGCAGAGCTCGCCGAGCGGCTGAGGTAGCCGCTGAGTTAAGGTGGCATGGAGGACCCCGCGGCGCCCGGGGCCGGAAGCGCGTCCACCAATGGCAACGGCAACGGCAGCGGCAAAGGGAAGCAGACGGCGCCCAAGGGCCGGGAAGCGTTCAGAAGCCAGCGGCGGGAGTCGGAGGTGAGGAACCCGGGGAGCTTCGGTTGGGGCCGGGAGACGCCCGCGGGCGGGAAGCAGTGGCTGAGGTGATTCGGCCCGGTCCTCCTCCCCTTCCGGAGCCCCCCGGCGCGCTCGGTGCCGCCCCTGGGAGCGGACGTCTGCGGGGTCCTCTGCAGCCCGGACTCTGGGCTCTACAGCCCAGGAGCCCTCTCTGCCTGTCTCCCTGTCGGGGGCTTCTTAGCCCTCTGGCCTCTCCTCTGGGAATGCGGGGATGTAGCGCGATAGAGACCATACCTGGTACTTTTCAAATATTTATCGCACTTAATTTCTGCAGCCCCTTGAAGTGAGGATTCGTGTTTTCGATTTACGGAAGGAGCGGGCGCGGACAGGTTAAGCGACTGGCCTGAAGGGTGAGGGGCCAGAGCTCCGCCGCAGTGGACGGGGGCCGGCGTGGGGGGCAGCCGCGCTCCCACCCCTGGGCTAGCGAGCTGATCCAGATGTGCCGAGTGACTTCTGCTCGTCCCCTGCCCCCGCGTGTTGGCAGGCTGTTTAGGGAGTGCCTTCCCCAGACATCAGGACCCCTACCAGTGAGGGTCAATGAGAGGCTTCAGCTGGGGTGAGGGGGAGAGGACGGGGAATGGAACTGCTCAGGATACAAACCCACAGATAGGAATATGAATGTTTGGGTTACCTAAGGAATCCTAACTAGGAGAATGAAAGGAGTGAAGTATTAGTCTCCTTCTCCCTCATCCAGCCAGTGCCCATTAACTAGGCAAGAGTAGAATTGGATCTGAGCGGGGATCAGAATAGACCATGAAAGGTCAGGTGTGAAAGGGACTGTAGCGATCATCCGCTCTAGCCCTTTCTCTTAACACAAGTTAAGAGACAGAAGTAACTTGCCCAAGATCATGCATCTGGCATAGTGGCCAGGAGCACCGAGCTTGGGGATCATCCAGACCGGGTTTTTTAAAAATGTTTGTTTATTTTTGAGAGAGACAGAGACTGAGTGTGAGCAGGGGAGAGGCAGAGAGAGATGGAGACACAGAATTGGAAGCAGGCTCAAGGCTCTGAGCTGTCAGCACAGAGCCTGACATGGGGCTCGAACTCATGAACCATGAGATCATGACCTGAGCTGAAGTCCAATATTCAACCGACTGAGCCATCCAGGTGCTCCCATCCAGACCAGGTTTTGAATCCTAGCCCTATCACTTACTCTGTGTGACTTTTGGCAAATTGCCAAACCTCTCTGAGCTCCAGTTTCTTCTTCTGTAAAGGAGGTTAATGCGACCCACCTCAGAAGATTGTGATAAAGTCATATGAGATCATCAGATGTCAGATGTTTAATTCAGTGCAGGCACAGGGTATGTAATTGGTCAGTACATAGTAGCTCATAGGGCCAGAGCTTATACTAGAAGCCAGGTCTTACTTGTCCCAGTCGGTTTACCATTTGAATTGTACATCCCAGTTTCCAAAGGGAGTTCATGTATATTTTTCATTTTGATACAGAAAAGTAAGAATCCATCCAATTTTTTTTTAATGTTTTATTTATTTCTGAGAGAGAGAGAGAGGGAGAGAGAGAGAGAGCAAGGGAGGGTCAGAGAGAGGGAGACACAGAATCTGAAACAAGCTCCAGGCTCTGAGCTAGCTGTCAGCACAGAGCCCGATGCGGGGCTCGAACCCACGAACCATGAGATCATGAACTGAGCCGAAGTTGGACGCCCAACCTACTGAGCCACCCAGGTGCCCCTCCATCCCATTTTTTAAAAGCAGGAAGTGGAAATGAAAAGACTAGTCCAAAAATCACACCATCTTTCAGAGACAGAGCTCAGCTCTACTGTTTTGCTAGTTGAGGGTTCTATCCACGTCATCTCCCTCCCTGCCTTACTATGAATCTCGCCTTTTAGAGCACCCTGTACCTCCTCCCCCACAAAGCAACATTGTTTTTGCTTAAATGTTTTTTTGGGAGGAGGGGGTGGGTCATTCATTATTTCAAAAAGTATTGAGTCCTTTCTACATGCCCAGCACTATTTAGGTGCTAGGGATGCAGTGGTGAACAAGACAAGGTCTTTTTCTGTGGAGCGAACATTCTAGCCAGGGTGGAGAGACAATATGCAAGTAAATAAAATAATTAGTTTCAGAATGATATGTTCTTTGGGAGAGTTAAAACTCCTGATGTTAGAGGGCTTTTCCCTGCCTATCAAGTTTTCCACCAGGAAAAGGGCTCTAATAGTACTTTCGTTTTGCCAGTGAGTCCAGTATCCAGAGACTCAGAGCTTTCCACCTGCCCCCAGTTTTACCTCCTGGTTGTCTGCAGCTGTACTTCTTATGCTTGCAAATGGACAACTGCAGTGATCCTCTCCATCTGGGCTCATTGCCTGCCAACAGGCTGGCTGGAAAGATTAGCTTTCCTCCACCTTCCACTGCAGCAGGAAAGCTGCCTTTTACCTGTCAGTACATTCCCAGACTCGGGTGACTATGTGCCTTTCCTTCCTTCCCTCCTTTTGCTTTCCTGTGAAAGACAGTCCTCAGGGGAGATGGTTTATCTTTTCCCCCCTCTCTTGGACTTCTAAAGGATTACTGGAAGAGAATTACTGTTGGCACAATTCAAGAGAGCCTCCTCATCCATCATTGTGCCTGTGGGGGACACTGGTTGACCTGCCCTCTCCCAGTGGTTTAGTGTATGAATATCCCAACGAAAATAGGAAGCTAGAGACTAATTGTTTGCTTAATAAGATTCTTAGGGCGCCTGGGTGCCTCAGTGAGTTAAACATCTGACTCTTGATTTCCACCCATGTCATGTTCTCATGGTTTAGAGACTGAGCCCAGCCTCCACACTGACGGAAAGGAGCCTGCTTGGGATTCTCTCCCTCTCTCTGACCCTCTCCCTCACTCTCTGTCCCTCCCTCATATGTGCCCACACACGTTCTCAAAGTAAATAAATAAACATTTTTAAAATTTTAAAAGAAACAGGGAGTTCTTAACCAAACGATTCACCTCAGGCCTCTTTTAGCCAGATCCCCTGGTTTAGTTGGTTCCCAAAGTCCTTGACAGAGTTTTACTGGTTTGTGGAAAAAGGAGGAAAATTCAGGGCATTGAAGTAAGTTTTTCATAAAATGTAGTTTGAGACAATAAATTTAAAGGATGTGTTCAATTTGGAGCATCTGGTGAGCTCTGTTGGTAGAGCATGCGATTCTTGATCCAGGGTCATGAGTTCAAGCCCCATGTTGGGTGAAGAGCTTAGTAAACCAACCAACAAACAGATGTGTGTGATTTATTTATTTATTTACTAAACTTTTTACTTTGGAGTGATTTTAGGTTTATGGAAAAGTTGCAGAGATGGTACAGAGGGCTCCTGTACCCCTCACTCAGTTTCCCCTGATGCCAGCCTTTCAGGTTTCCACAGTGCTTTTAGCCAAACCATGGAAGCAGCACTGGTCCTTTGACTCATGGAAAGCTCTGTTCCCTGAGAGTCCTTCTCAGGCCTGGCCTGGCCCCGCCTCACCCATAGCAGTTCTTCTGAACCTCCTCTGGGCTGTGAGAATTTCTCAGTGAGCCTCGTCCATGGTCTGTCTGACATGAGGCCAGGTTTTGGGCTTTCAGATGGAAGACCACAGAGGTGACTGCCCTTCTTGTCACATCATGTCAGGGGACATGCAACATCTTGTCACTGGGAGGCTGGCCCTTGGCCTTGTCACAGCATGTATGCAATTTAAAACAGTATTTTTCAAACTGTGAGTTGAGACCAACAACCAACATTTTTTTTAAAGAAATAGAATAATAGAAAGTATCTATGTCACATAGTAATGGTGGTATTATTTTGTTAAAAACTTTTGTTCCAGTTTTGTGTATCTGTCAGAGCATGATGTAAAATTTATTTATTCTTTGATTTACAATCAAAAAGCTTTGAAAAACATTACTTTTAATGCCTCTTTTATTCTAACATTACGTCCTCATTTTGGGGGTTTTAAACTGTTCTTTTATGAAATTGTATTTTAAAAAGGTTTTTTTAAGTCTCTACTGATCAGAATAAAACCTCAACTACCTAATGTCATTCCCCCCCTCCATCTTTTTTTTTTCTTACTGGTTTCTGTAACCCAGATGTATTTGGAAGTATTTGCAATAGTGGGTTTAAACATAACATAATTTGCGTTGTTGGCAGTGTAAATTGATAAAGTGGTTTTGGAAAACAAAAAAAAGAATCTATCCTTAGGAAAGATCCTAAATATGAAAAAATGTATAGGTGTATTACAACTTTATGTTTATAGTAAAGAAAAATTAAAACTTAAATGATCAACAATAGAGAACTGGTTAAGTAAACCAGTTAGTTATCTGCCTGCTTTGCTGTACACTTAGCTATTTAAAATGATAGTCATAAGAATATAAGAAAAACACCTTTATAATATTAAAATTGTAAGTACAGTAAGTAAAATTCTAAGTAGTATAACCACCTACATAATGCTATCAAGTGCTAGGTAAGTGTGCTAAGTTCTTTGTCCTCTGTTAATTCATCTATTGCTTATAATGACTCTATGAATTATCCTCATTTTACAGATGAGAAGACTGAGCATGTCATTTTCCAGTAATTCCCTGACACCAATTCAGTTCTGATACTATCAGTAGTTAGCACAAACCTTACAGGTTAAGGGCACAGTGCCATAAGACTGTCCCCACTTCAGATGCCAGCCACACCCCGGGCCCCCCAGGCTACACGCATTCACTGTACCTGGCCAACTGCAAATTCAGAGGTTTCTTGACCACCCCCATCCTACCCACCTGCTGCCATCTCTTGATTCCATAATTTGCAACAATGACTCACAGAATTAAAAAAAAAGAAACTGCTACGTTTATGATTACAATTTTAATATAAAGGATACAATTCAAGAATGAAGAGAGCAGGGGCGCCTGGGTGGCTTAGTTGGTTAAACGTCCGACTTTCGCTTAGGTTATGATCTCGCGGTTCATGGGTTTGAGCCCCGCGTCGGGCTCTCTGCTGACTGCCAGCTCAGAGCCTGGAGCCTACTTCAGAGTCTGTGTCTCCCTCTCTCTCTGACCCTCCCCTGCTCACGCTGTCTCTCTCTCTCTCTCCTAGAAATAAATAAAAATATTAAAAAAAAAAAAAAAGAATGAAGAGAGCAAAGACAAGATATGGGGGTAAGATGGTACAGAGCTTCCATGCCCTCTGGGTATCACCCCCTCAGCACTTTGGTTTGCCCAAAACTCATTGTTTCAGGGCTTTTATACAGTTTCATTACCGAGGCATGATTGTTTAAACCATTAGACACAGGGGCTGTCTCAGGCTATTAAACCATTGGCCATTGGCTGGTAGTTGACTTAATCTTCAGCCTCTTCAACTCTCTGGAGGTGGGGCCATTCCCTCCTTTGAAACTCTTAAAGGCTCACCAGGAGTCACCTCACTAGCATAAACTCTAGTATTGTTGACAGGGGCTTTTAAATTATAGACACTCCTATCAGGAAATTCCAAAGGTTTTAGGAGCTCTGTGCCTGGAACAGGGGACAAAGACCAAATACACTTTTTCTACCACACTGGGGCATAGGGAGAGTAAGTAACTTGCTCAAGATCTCAGTGTGTGACAGATGAGACTCAAAATACATTTTTTTGAGATTCAGAAACTTTTTAATTTATATATATTAATGTACACTGGTAGGAAATACTCCAAAATGCTTAGAGAGGTTAGGAGATAGGATTACATTAAGATGTTTTTTATATACGATTGTAACATTATACCTACAACAACATATGAAATCTAGTTTTAATATAACTTGGAGTAGAAATACAACCTTATCTGATAATCCTAGAGTTGTGGAACACTAGAGTTGAGGGACCTCCTTTTATATATGAGGAACTATGATCCAAAGAACGAGATCTGCCCAAAATCACACAGTGGGTTAATGACAGAGCTAATATTAGAATCCAGCTCACTTCTTTTGTTTTTGTCCATCTCATTTTTCTAGACATCAGCTAGAAGCTCTTCTGGTCTGTGTTTATGTAGGTCAGATACAGGCACAGATTTCATAGCTTTCATATCTGTTCACGATCCTTTACTCAGAGTTTCTGATTCTATATAGGAATCTTCAGCCCTGTCCTGCATTGAGCCTCACATTTTGGCTTGGAGGAGGGTACCTCTTGGATTAAAGGCCCAGATGGGATTCTCCTAGCTGCCTCCCCGATCTAATGTTGGCCTCCAAGAGAGGAAGAAGATTAAGTGAGAGTATAATTTCCTTTTTCATCCCTTTTTCCACGTTACTGCAAACACTTCTCTATTACAGGGCTCTGTGGACTGCCCCACTCTGGAATTTGAGTATGGAGATGCAGATGGGCACGCAGCAGAGTTGTCAGGTATGAGGTGGAGATGGGTCTGTGGAGAGTGGAGGGATGGCCAAGAGGAGAGGGCCTGAGTCTATGATCTCTCCTGGCAGCTTATCTATTCTCCACATTCCCTTCTCTCTCCAGCCTCCAGCAGTAAATATCTGTGCTTTTACAGTTCTTTCTGTGAATTCTCCTCTGGCTACAGTATTCTCCACTTTCATTCTTTCACTCTTTTTTGCTCACCCTTCTTTATTCTCTTTTGGTGTACTCTTAAATCCTTTGTCTTTCCATTTTTTACCCACTCTTGTTTCTCTTCTCATATTCACTAGTATCTTTGCATGCATGCCCCCTTCTTTCTGCCACCCTCTCCCTTTCTGTCTCTCTGTCTGAATTTTTAGCTTAGGCAGTGTGATCCCCTCACATTAAGAGCCTCCATGTTACACGTGCTATGAATACTAGTTATTAATAAACGAGCTTTGGGTGGAGATGGTGTGAAATTAAATACTCTGTCACATGGAAGTGACACTTTGCGACATGCTTTTTCAGAGAAAAGAGACAAGCAATTTTAAAGAAGTTCTTGTGAATGAGCACAGGGAATAAATTTTGTGATGAGTGACAGATAGCTGAGTTTAATAACCAACAAAGGATAAGAATTCCAAATAATATATACAAAAAAATAAATTTCATATACGTATGCATGTGTCTGTGTATAGAGAGAGAAGAGAGGAATAGACAAGTAGTCAAAGAATATGAATAGGAATTCAGAGACTAGAAAACCATATGGTCAATAAATATATGAAAAGATGTTCAACTACTTTAGTAAATGAGTAAAAGCAAATTAAAATGAGATATTTCATGTTTATCAGATTGCAAAACTTAAAAACCTGAAGTTGGTGAGGGTATAGAGAAACGAGTACTTTTATATGCTGATTGGCATTAGAGAACAGAGCATAAAAATTGGAAAGCACTTTGGTCACTTCTAGCAAAGTTGAAGATGCACGCATATTATAACCCAGTGATTCTACATGTACCTTTTAAAGAACACTTGGGCACAAGAAAACACATATAAAGATGTTTATTTTGGCCATTGTGAAAAAATTTAAAACAACTTAGGGGAATGGATGAACTGTAGTTGGTCAATATAGTAGGTTACCGTATAAATGTTAAAATAGTTGATCTATGTCATATGTTTTGATATCGATAAATTAAAAGCACAATGTTAAGTGGGGAAAGAAACAGTGACAAAATAATTTATATGTGTATCCAGAAAACTGCTTAAACACACAAACCAAAAAGGTGTTTCTGGGAAGACTGGTTGCACACTTGATTGAGAACAGTGTCAGTTAAGTAAATGGATGTGTAAGTCAAACTGTCATGTAAAAAACTATTGAAAGACATACTAGAATATGATTTTTAGAAAAAATAGTATATAATATCCTGTTTGGATAAAAACTTTCGAAACAATGTATCATGTTGTTTATAGGTATATATGTGTGTAGTAAAAGTAGAAAAATAGACATGTGAAGCATACATACCAATTTCATGCTAAAGAGGGGAATAAGATTGACTGGGAGGAAAAGGGAGGCTTTAGATATCGGAAGCAAATATGACAAGTATGAACATTTGTTTAATCTGGGTAGAAGATACAAAGGTATCTCATATGTATTCTGTATTTATCCCTATATGAAAGTTCATGATCTAAAATTTAACAATAAATAACAAAAAGTTTAGTACCTCACAGCCTTCCTCCCTTTTCTGACTGGGTTTGTGCTGCACTCTTTAAAAACATCTATGAACACTACCCACTGAGCACTGAAGAATATCAGAGTCAGGGCTGGGATTTGCTTCTGGTCAGTCCAGGATTCTGGAACTCAGTACTCAAAAGCCCTGCCTCCCGGACAAGGTGTTTCTCAGTCTAACAATTGAGAACATAAGTGAATTTCTCTTTGTGAACTATCTGTGACCTAGTTAAGTTTCCAGCAAGGGTCTTGGAAGAAAGTTTTGAGGAAATCTATTCTGTCACCTGTTGACTTCTCAGCTTCAGTTCTTCATCCTCTGTAGGATGAAGGTACTAGTATAATGTCCTGGAGTGTGTGTGGAAGAGAGGGCATTTTTATTTCTTAAGCTCTGCATTTTGTATTTAGAGGCTATTGTCAATAAAGTTAGATGTTCTTGGGCCTAAGCAGCCCTTTGGCAACAGTAGCTAGTTCTAAGTGGTTTGAAGCTGTCTCTACCTGGGTGGCCATGGGCAGGAACCTAAACTCTGTACCCTTCGAGGAAATTCAGTAGGGAATAAACTGGCTTTAACCCCAAAGGGCCATCTAGCACATACTCTCCAGCCTTTACTCTGGCTCCTTGAATAGCCCAAGGATCTTGCGTCTAAATTTCAGGCGTTGTGTTGCCCTTCTCTTCCCTAGAGACAGGATAGCCTCAGTCTGGGTTGACAAGCAGAAGGAGCTGCAGCCCTAAGAAACAGGAGTGATGGCATTTAGCCCTCTCTGCTCCAACCCTCCTCCTGGCCCTCACCAAGTGCTGAAGACTGCCTACTTTGCTGTAGCAGCCAGCTGGCAGGAGGAGGACAGGTTTGATGGTTTAATCACCCAGGGACACAAGTGGCTATTTTTAACTGCTCCGAAAGGGAAGAAGCTGGCTCTGGATTGAATTGGACACAGGAATGTGTTGGAAGCTTTAGTTCTTTCATGCCACCCTCTCCTCCTCAGGCCCCTTTTATAAGGGTCTGCTGAATGTTTGTGACTCTGTCCTATCTTTTCTGCCACAGAATTGTATAGCTACACTGAAAACCTGGAATTCACCACTAACAGGAGGTGCTTTGAAGAAGATTTCAAGACTCAAGGTGATCCCAGATTCTTATTCATAGAAACCTGCTTTTCCTTCCATGATATCCCAGCTTGATCTAGAAAAAGCCCAAAACAAAGCCCAAAACCCGTCTTCATCCTCTGCATAACCGTATAACTTCTCTATTCCTCCTTGCATATGGGACACAAGAGTTTCCTATACCTCAAGTGGAGAGGCCATGGAATGGAAGCAAGAGAAACCTGTGCTGGGTCCCTTTCACTGATGTAAAGGGCCCAGAGAGCAGAGGAATGAGTCCTGGGCAGGTGCCCTGCTACATGGTAAAACCCTGTGCTTAGTGTAGTCCTTGACCTTAACGTTCAACCCCTGCCTCCAACTCTGCCTCACTCCTAATAACATCTAATAGTAATTTCATGTGCCACACTGCATTCCTCTCAAACCTCCACTTCCTAACTTGGTCAGTGAATTCAATTTGCAACTCAACAGATGTGTGGTAAGTACTGTTTTGTGCCAGAGATGCAGGGGGCAGGGGTGAAGGTGAATTTGCAGTATCTTCAAAGAGTTTATAGTCCAGTGGCAGAGTGGAGGTGTGTACGTCACAAAACTGAGGCCAGAGGAAAGTGGTAAGTATTATAAGAGAAGTAAAAAGTATCTTGGAGGACAGAGCTGGCTGGAGCACTAGTGAGAAAGAGATTATTAGTATTGGACCTATAATGATGAATAGGAATTGGATAGGTGGGGAGAGAGAGGGAACTCCTTGAAAAGGCAGAGAAAGGACAGAATAGACTATGTGTGGAGAATGGAGGGAATATGGAGGAAGATAAGGCTTCAGAGTAGGTTCAGCCAGAACTTTTTGGGTCCTTTACTTTTCCAATCTCTTATTCCTTCTCAGCTAAATAAGAAAAGCTTTTAAGAGAAAAATTTGTTGGGGGCTGGGATCAGAGATGGAAGGGGAGGCAGAAGTTGACACTGGATCTATATGGCCTTCTGTCCCCAGTGCAGGGCAAGGAGTGGCTGGAATTGGAGGAAGATGCTCAGAAGGCCTATGTGATGGGACTCCTAGACCGACTGGAGGTGGTCAGTAGGGAACAGCGACTGAAGGTGGCCCGGGCTGTTCTCTACCTGGCCCAAGGCAAGTGACCACCTTTGCCAGCTTGAAATGGGTGAAAACCAGGGAAAGAAGTGTTGTTATCAGGATTAGGATGAGGCAAGCCAAGCTCAGAAAGTGAGGTCCCTGCCTCTCAAAGACCGATCTTATCAAGGTCGAAGTGAACTAGTGCCAAAAAAGAAAAAGAAAAGAAAAAAGAAGTAATCTGGTGCTTTTGAGGAAGTTAAGGAGATAGAGGTGTGTCCTATTCCGGATCCCTTGGAATTGGCCTTCATCTTACCAGGCATGCCAAGATTTCTTACAGGGTTTTTTTTTTCCTTCACATGGGCTGTAATCATATGTGGAGAATTAGCAAAAGAGTCAGTGTGGCTAGAGTTGGTGATGCACCACCAGCATCATCATCAGCTATGTCACTGGCCTCCACTGAGGGGAGGCAGTGGAGTATCGCAAAGTCACAGATGGTGGACCCTCTGCATTATTTCTTATTTGCATTTAGAAGGTTCAAGCCAGCATAGCAGCAGGAGTGGATACAGTGTGTAACTGGGAGATGATGAGAACTCAGTGGGATTAATTGAGGAAACCTCCTCAGAAGAGACCTATTAGCCAGGTGTTGGAAAGAGAAATGAGATTGCCTAACTGGAATAGTAAAAATAAGCCCTCAGATCATAATAAGAGGACTGTTGGCAGAACCGACTAGCTGGGAACTTAAAAAAAAAAAAAGTATAAAAGAAAATAAATGGAGAAGAAAGAGAGTGGTGAAGGGAAGACTAGCAAACAAGGCAGTGCCTAAGCGTCTTTCTTGGGTCTGGTGCTCTGGCCAACTTCCAGCTGCTACTACCTTCAACTTTTTACCTGAGAGCTTTGTCTGCAGCCTATATGGGGTAACCAGGAAGTGCTAGGGAATTAATATGCTCCCCTAGTCCAGTAGCACTGATCACTGACTGACAGGAGTTATTGGATAAATACCCCAACTACCTCACCCTTCTTGGGTGGGGAGGATTCTGAGGTGTGTAAAATATATACTGTTTCCCAGAGCTTCCCCCAACCTGGGTTTCAGTTCTTGGCTGCCTTCTCTTCCCTGTCTCATTTCCCCACTTCTCTACTAGTACAATCTCCCACATAAACTACTTTCATTTGAATCCTTCTCTCTGGATCTGCTTCTCCGGGAACTCAAACTTAAGACAGACCAGTTATAAGCACTTTGGACCTGACTCTGGAGACTGCTTCTCCTCTTTTGAAAATGGCTCATTCAAGGAAGTTCTGGAGGGCCTTGCCCAATCTTTGTCGGCCTAATTGTTGGGCAAGGTGTTGGAGATAGCCTTAAGATCATGGGGCAGAGTGGAAAGAACCGGGATATTTCCTCTCACCTTCAACTCCATGGCACTGTCTGGTCCTTTAGGCACTTTTGGGGAATGTGATTCAGAGGTCGATGTGCTACACTGGTCCAGGTACAACTGCTTCCTGCTCTATCAGATGGGGACCTTCTCGGCCTTCCTGGAGCTACTCCACATGGAAATCGAGTGAGAAGCCTTAGGGGGGGGCTGGCCTAGACAATCTCCTTTCTTGCAGGGTGCCTCATGTCCTGGGCTGATTGCCTCCCTATAGCGACCTCTATGGGAGCAGGGTCTATTCATATTTCAGTCCAAAGCATACTGACAGTTCCGATCTATGCAGCCATGCTTTCTGATATTCTGTTTTCCTCCTGAAGGTGGTCTCATCAACAGGTTCTGCCTTACTTACAGCTTCAATCCTGGGCTTCAGGGCCCCATCCTAGGTGGGTTCCCTTTGTATCTCAACACCTTCTCAACTCAGCGTAACTGGAATCTATGAAGGAGACCGTTCTACCTGAGAACATGACCCAAGAGAGACAGGACCAATTTCTGTTGCTGTGTCCAGTTCTTTCCCTGTGGGTTATAGCTCTAGAGGTAGCCTTGGTTGCTGTTACCACTGTAGTGATCCCTCATTTTATCTCAAGCCTGTTACCCGGGAGTTTAAATAGGGCACATTTAAAGGGTTGCTTAGCATCTACTATGTGTCCAGCACAGCACTAGGCACAATGTGGATTATAGGAGGGATTATCACAGACCTTGCCCTTGCCCTTGCCCATCTTTACCACGGATAAGCATTTACTGAGATGTCAGAGGAATTCTGTGGGCTCATTTACCTTAGACCAGTTTCTTTTAGCTACATAGCCAGGGAATAGCAGGTACTCAGGTTTGTGTATATGGTAAATGGGGACACCGGGCATAAAGAGGATATCTGAGTTCCTGTTCTCCCTCTCCTCCCCTTGGCAGCAACAGCCAGGCCTGTAGCAGTGCTCTTCGGAAACCAGCCATCTCCATTGCTGATAGCACAGAGCTCAGGTGAGTGGAGCTGGCCCTAGGATTGGAACAAGGGATGGTCAGCAATGGGTTACCCTTTGCCCAAGTCCCCAAGATACACCCAGATTACTAGTAGTTGCTAATTCTGCTGGGTTGAGCTCCCACACAAATCATCTCTGAGGTCTCTGACTACAGGTTAGGAGCTGCTTTGGGAACCTTTTGTAACCCTTCTATAATCCCAGGGTGCTACTGAGTGTCATGTACCTATTGGTGGAAAATATCCGCCTGGAGCGAGAGACAGACTCCTGCCGGTGGAAGACAGCACGGGAGACCTTCCGCACTGAATTGAGTAAGAAGTGGAATTTGAGGAAGAGTGGGGATGAGGTGCTGGTGATGGAGGGGAAGCATAGCATCTGAGCCTCTGCTTAGTAGAAACAGCTCCCTTTCCTACCTGCCCTCCTTCCTTCCTTCCTTCCTTTCTTCCTTCCTCCCTTCCTTCCTCCCTCCCTCCCTTCCTTTCTCCCATTCTTCCTTCCTTCCTCGTTCAGAATTGGCATCCATTCTTTTATTCTTACTTTTTAAAAAATGTTTATTTATTTTGATAGATAGAAAGAGAAAGAGAGAATACGTGCAGGGGAAGGGCAGAGAGAGTGGGTGGGAGAGAATCCATACTATTAGCACAAAGCCCAACGTGGGTCTTCATCTCATGAACCCCAAGATCATGATCTGAGATGAAACCAAGAGTCACGCACTTAACCAACTGATCCACCCAGTTGCTCCTATTTTTATTTTTTTTAAAGTAGGCTCCTCACAGGGAATGGAGCCTAATGTGGAGCTTGAACTGACGACCCTGAGATCAAGCTGAACTGAGATGAAGAGTTGGATGCTTAACCAGCTGAGCCACCCAGGCATTCCTAGCATCCATTCTTTTAAGGCAGAGATACTATGTGGCAGACATGAAGACCTGGCTTGACTGCCCTTGTGTCTATGAGTTAGGACCAATTATGTGTCATTTTTGTGCCTTGGTTTCCTTGGTTATAAATGGGGATAGCCATCCATCTCCTGTTTCATCATCAATCTCACATGAAAAAAAGAAGTTGAATCAACTTGAAAATGTTAGTTGGTAATGTCATCAGACAGGGATAAGATATGAAGGCCTGTGGGGTTTTTAAAATATATTCACTGAGGGGCACCTGGGTGGCTCAGTTGGTTAAGCATCTGACTTCAGCTCAGGTTATGATACGGTTCCTGAGTTCAAGCCCCACATCGGGCTCTCCACTCTCAGCAAGGAGCCCACTTTGGATCGTGTCTTCCTCTCTCTGCCCCTCCCCTCCTCACTCGCTCTCTTTCTCAAAAAAAATAAAATAAAATAAAAATAAATAAACATTTAAAAAAAAAAATAAAAAATATATCACTGATGTGGAAAAGTGAGTTGTGATCCATGAAATGCATTGAATTCTTTGACCGGAAAGCAACATCTTTATATTACTATTCTAGTTCAGTATCAATCCCCAAGCTTGGGAGCTAAGCCATTTTGCCTCCATGACCTTCCTTCCTGCCCTTTCCCTCTGGAAACTCTAAGGAACAAATACTCGAATTTGTTCCTTCTAAGGAACAAATACTCGAATTCTTTGGGGGTGGTAAGAGCCTTCCTCACTGCATCCAGAATCAGGGTCACAGGGGCAGGGTTACAGCTACCTCATCCTCACTTCCTCACTCTTCTCCTTCCTCTCCCCTAGGCTTCTCAATGCATAATGAGGAGCCTTTTGCCCTTCTGCTTTTCTCCATGGTTACCAAGTTCTGCAGTGGCCTGGCTCCCCACTTCCCCATAAAGAAGGTCCTGCTTTTGCTCTGGAAGGTAGTCATGGTGAGTGGCTGATTCCCCCACCCCCACTCCCATCTAATCAAACCAACAGCGCCCTCTGCCACCACCTCAGTTTCTTCTAGTCTAGTTCCAGGAGGCTGGAGCTAGGCGGAAGGCAGCTGTTAGCCAATGGAGGGGAATCAGATGTTCTGTGTCAGAGCAGGTAACCTATTTCTGTTGGACTGACAGGAGATGTCACTCTATGAATGGGGTGTCATTGTACCTTCCTATGATAGAGCTGACATTTCATGCAAAGAACACTGGTTGAGAGTTGGGAGATCTAGCTTCTGCTGATACTAAGGAACCTCGGGCAACTGTCTGTGCCTCAATTTTTCTAGCTATAAAATGTGGGGCTTGATGCTTGCTCTCTATTCAGATAAACAGAAGATTTGTTTAAAAAAAATGAAGTCCTTATAAATGTATGGTTATAGCTTTGTTACGAATTATTAAATCTGATCCTTCATCTCTGGTACCCACTCCACAGGAGTGGTTGAACAACATACCCTCCAGGGCAAGCTCCATTGGGGGAACCACCTTTTGACAACAGAAAAAATTGAGTGACTCTGGGGCTCTATAGCATCTGGGTGTGCTCCTTAACAAAAGGAAACATAGTTTCCCCCACTTTTTTTTTTCCAGTAGAAGGCCCTAGGAGTCCTTTCCTAATTTCTGGTGATGTTGCCAGCCCTGAGTCAGTGTCAGTAAATAATGCTTCATCCTGAACCCTGAGCTCCTAAGACTGGGGATGGTAATTACATTTGCTCCTTGCTGTTTTATTACTTCCTAATTAAGAAGGGAGTCTAGAGGGACTGGAGATTGTGGCTCTTCCTCTCTATCCACATTTCCCTGAACTTGCTCCTACTGACTTCCCTCTGTTCTTCTCTGCCCCTTTCCTGTTTACACCTTAGTTTACTCTTGGTGGATTTGAGCATCTACAGGTTCTCAAAGTACAGAAGCGGGCAGAACTGGGGCTGCCTCCACTGGCTGAAGATAGTATCCAGGTGGTGAAGAGCATGCGTGCTGCCTCCCCACCCTCTTACACCCTCGACCTGGGGGAGTCTCAACTGGCACCACCACCCTCTAAGCTGCGAGGCCGCCGTGGTTCTCGAAGGGTATGAACTAAAGCAAACAGTGGTGTTGTGATACTAGTTGTCTAAAAATTAAGATATTGAGCTACTCTGAATGTAGAAGGAAAATGACCCAGTAAATGACCCAGTTTATCCTGCCTCTGGTTGGCCCTGTAACTAACCTGAAACTAACCTTGAGACCAACCTTGGAGTCTGTACTTTAGTCACTGTCTCCCAGCTGCAGCAGGTTCCTGGGCTATCATGATGTAACATTGTGGTATCACATCATAGATCCATGTTTTGCTACAGGGTTATTGACCTAGACCTAGTGTGCCTGGAGTACCTTAGCATCCTGGATGACAGTTAGGTCATAATCCTGTAGATAGGGACCCAGATCACCTGAACAAAGCTCCCAGCAAATCTATGTGCCCGGGGTGAGACACTTTATCATTTCCTTGACAGCAAGAAGGTTTATTGTGAGCCATCCCTGCTCTTGTCCGGCCCTGGAACCAAACGCTTACATTTAGGAGGTGATTGATTAGTGTTCTAGGTATAGTCTGCATCTCTGGAAAGGTCAGAATGACAAGTTGCACTGAGACTTGACCATGTACCCATGAACTCACCTCCCTGAAATACCTGAGCTCACCAATTATAGGTGACAGGACCAAATAATCATGTTAAATAATCTGGTCTACATAATCTACAATGTGATTATTTTTTTTAGACTTTATTTTTTTGTTTTATAAAATAATGCTTACTCATTGTATAAAATTTGGAGCAAATATAAAAATGTGAAGAAGGGAGGAAAAAAGAAAATCACCCACAAGCGTAACAAACCAGAGGCAGTCACTCTTAACTTTTTGGCCTATTTCTGTCCAACCTTTTTTTCTTTCTGCAACAAGATTTAAAATTCCAAACTTGCTTCCCTCTGCCTAGCAGCAAGCCTCTGTCCTCCTCTTCCTCAGTCAGCCAGCTGGTGTATGCTCACAGAAGGCAAACTAATTGAATGTTCACCTAAGCAGAGCATAATTAGGAAGGAAAGTGCTGGGCGGCGGGGTGGGGAGAAGCATCCATGCTTTCCGAAAGCTAAGTAACTGACTTTGGGATTAACTATGCTTTTGTTCCCCAGCTTGATTGCCTGAGAGGTGCTTATCCTAGAATAGGGCTTAATGAGGATACTAGGGTTGAGATGGGAAAGGGGATATTCTCAGAAGAGCTGGATATCCAGCTCTTGTATCCTGAAGTCTAGCAACCTATGGGTAGAGGGTGACTTCAGACAAGGATGCTCAGAGTGAGGTCTCTATATACCTTCTCTCTACCCTCCCAACCTCCGCCCAGCAACTCCTTACTAAGCAGGATAGCCTGGACATCTACAATGAAAGAGATCTCTTTAAGACTGAGGAACCAACCACAGAGGAGGAAGAGGAGTCTGCTGGTGATGGAGAACGAACCTTGGATGGAGAGTTAGACCTGCTAGAGCAAGACCCCCTGGTGCCACCTCCACCTTCACAGGCACCTCTTTCTGCCGAACGGGTGGCCTTTCCCAAGGGCCTACCCTGGGCCCCAAAGGTCAGGTAGGTTTGGTAACTCCAGGACCCTGAGTTTTGAGGTTAGAATCACTGAAGGCCCAGAGTGCAGTGGTCTAGCATTCAAGTCTGAATAAGCTCAGCTAGAAGTCAGAACTCCCGGGTGTGAAGTTTTCTCTCTTAGCTGTGATCTTCTCCCACTGCTCCAATTGCATTGAGGGGTTAAGTGCCCAGAAAGGTTCTGTCTCTCAAGGTTTTTTTTTTTTTTTTTCCTTTTCTGGGGTTTGTCTCTCCACTGTCCTCTCAGACAGAAGGACATTGAGCACTTCTTGGAGATGAGCAGGAACAAATTCATCGGATTCACTCTGGGGCAGTAAGTGACTAGATGGTCAGAACTGGCTATAGAGTGGTTCTTAGGGGGGCCAGAGGAATGGGTGGCTGGAATGAGAGATGTTGCCTGGTAGTCAGCATGTAACCTAGAGCCACTAGGCCATGGGCATCTCCTAGTGACTACTTTGGGCTTGTGCCATGAAATTTTTTCCTTCCAGTTTTCTAGAACTCTTATGTTCTTAGCCAGGTACAGGACCTGACAAGTCATTTCCTCTTGGGCTTCAATTTCCTTATGAGAGTATTGGATTAGATGATCCCTAGGAAACCTTCCTGTTTTAATGGGCCAGCATTGTGTGAAGCAACATGGTCAGAACAGATTCAGTGTCCCCCCCATTTCTCCTCCCTCACGAATTCCTCACACTGGCTGGCCCCTACAAAATTGAGAAAGCATTGTTACTAGTGTTTCACTGTAGTTGGGCTACATGTCCTTTTGGGGGAACTTACTGCTCCCTAACAAAGTAAATCCCCAAAAAACTATACAAAAATCCAAATTTTCATGAGTACTTCTGTGTAGCATTGTTCTTTCTGTGTCTTATAGCAATAATGGGGGTCCTGAAGCTTATAGAGAAAGATCCAGAATATAGCATGTTGAAAGTGGCATGGTCCATGTAACTCCAGGGGATATCAGTAGTTCTCGGTACTTTTGATGCTTATGATCTGGTATATCTCCCATTTCACAGGGACACAGACACCTTGGTTGGATTACCCAGGCCCATCCACGAGAGTGTGAAGACTTTAAAGCAGGTGACCAGGGTGGGCTCTCAGTCTTCAGGGATAGGGAGCCAACAAGGCAAGTTAGGGGATTACCAGAGTCCTGAGTATTGGCTCTTCTACCAGACACATTCTGAACCAATTATTCTATATTTCCCTTGCAGGCATTTTGGCCAGAGAGGAAGAAATTAGTTCTCTCCCTACTTAAGCATTTTCCTACATTCAAATTGGGGAAAAGTTATCCTTTCTTCCTCTCATGCCTTTTTCCTCCTCCCACTCCTTGCTTCCTTTCCTCTCACTTCGTGTCCCTATAGGACCACTAGCTTCCAAAGGCCCAGGATTAGTAGCAGTCTGCTCTGCATCCAAAGTGTATGTGAGCACAAAGAGTAAGAATAGTCATCTCTTGCCCAGATCTTAAGCTCTCCCTTACCCCATCATCAGCACTCCGTACACACACACACAAGCATACTCACATGTGGCAAAACTCTCAGAGCAGTGGTCCAGGGGCATGGGCCTTTTCTTTACTTCCCCTTGCCCTTGGTTGAAGGTAAATACTTAGGTATTTGCTGCTCTTTAACAAGTATGGAAGCACAGAATAAGCAGAAACACTGTATATGAAGCACTTGGCTCAATTGTTGAGGGTACAAAGGTGAATAAGACTCCTGCCTTCAAAGAGTTCGTGTCCTATTTGGAGTAACAGCCCATATGCAGGACATTTCCTTATCATTGAGGAAGTTAAGCAAGAGGCTGGTACATATGTGATCAAGGCCCTCAGTATTTTTTTTTTTTTTTTTTACCTAATCTCTAAACCCAACATGGGGCTCAAACTCACAACCCCAAATCTAGAGTTACATTTATTCATTTATTTATTTATCTTATTTTTTTAGTAGCCTCAGCCTCTTAATTAATTTCCTTTCTTCCCCAGCACAAGTACATCTCCATTGCAGATGTTCAGATCAAGAATGAGGAGGACTTGGAGAAGTGCCCCATGTCTTTGGTAAGTCAGGGGGGTCCTGCACAGGAGGAGGGCTGGAGGAAATCTGTCTACACTGCTTTCACTGAGCATGCGTGCATGCTGTTGGGCTTTTACTATGTGTACCAAGCAAGGCAAGGTCCCTACTTTTTATTTTTTGTTTTTTAGGTCCCTACTTTCATGATACATTCAAGTTAGAGGAAAAAGAAAATAAGTAATTAGGGAAACAAGACTATCAGAGAATGAGAGATACAATGAAGAAAAATTTAAATAGGATGACATGGTAGAGGCAACTATCAGGTAGTAGACTACTTTCAACTAGGCAGTCAGGATAGGTGCACCTCTGAGAAGGTGACAGCTAAGCTACAATGTGGGGTGCAAGAAGGAGTTGGCCATAGGAACATCTGGGGAAAGAGAATTCCGAGCAGAGGGAATAGCCTTAACAAAGGGAGAGCAAGCTCGGTGTATTAGGGATAGCAAATGAAGACTTGTGGCAGGAGCACAGGGGAGGGGGGTGAGGTTGTATGAGATGGAGTCAGGGAGTAGCCTGGAGTGACTTTAGAAAGGACCCCTAAGCATAGATAGGGAGTGTGAAGTTGTTTCACAGTACAGAAGTAAGCCCTTGCACATTTTAAGCAGGGGAGTGACATGATCTAATTTATCTTTTCAAAAACCACTGGCTGCTGTGTATAGACTTTACCAGAAAAGAGTGGAAGCAGAGTGATCACTTAGAGAGCTCTTAAAATAGTCAAGGTGAGAAATGATGGTGACATGGACTGGGGAAATAGGGAAAAGTGGAATGAATTTGGGTTATATTTTGGAGGTGTAGCTGACAAGACTTGCTGGTCAATTGGATGTGGATGGAAAGGTACAGAGAGGAATCAAGAATAAGAATCATTTGCCAGCATGAGGAGTTCTGTTTCATCAAGAGTTCTATTTTGATCATACTCAGTTTTAGATATCCATTAGGCAGCCATGCACATGAGCAGTCATGCAAATTGAATGTATAAATCTAGAATTCTAAGAGAGAGGAGTGGCTTAGAGAGATAAACCTGGGAGCTGTTGACTTAATGGACAGTGTTAAAAACCATAGAACTGGCTGAGATAACCCAGGGAGGGAATAGAAATAGAGGAGGGAACCCAGGACAAAGCCCTGGGGCACACCCCTATGTTGAGGGTAGGATGAGTCAGGAAAGGAGTCAGAAAAGAAGAGTAAGAGAAACACTCAGTGAGGTAGAAGGGAATGTGGGAGATTGTGAAACTATAAAAACTAAGAAAAATTTTTTCTGGAAGGGAATGATCAGCTGTGTCAAATGCTGCTGATAAATGGATAAGATCATAGGTGCCCATTGGAGAGGGCACCATGAAGATAACTGGTGACCTCAAGTGAAAAAGTGGGGCTAGTAGCCTAGATGGAGTATGTTAAAAAAAAAAAATGTAAGGAAAGGTGGTAGACAGTCAACACAGACAACATAGTTTCATTATAAACAGGATAGAAATGGGATGGTAGCTGAAGGAAGATGTGGGGTCAAGGGAAAGTGTTTTATAGCTAGAGACCCTAGAGTAGGTTTATGTCCTAAAAGAGATGATCTGGGAGAGAAGAGACGATTGCAGAACTGATGCATTTGACAAAGCAAAAGGGTGAGAGAACCCCAGCACAGGTGGAGAGCTGGTCTTTAATAGAGCACAGGTGGTTCATTGTTCATGTCAAGAAGGAAGATGGATACCCTAGTAGATTTGGTGTTGAGAAGATGAAGGTGTGCCTGTCTGATTGCTTCTGTGTCCCCCATGAAGTATGAGGCCGAGTTAGCAACTATTGAGGGGTTGTGGGGTGAGGGGATTGGTTTGAGGACAAGGGAAAAGGGAAGGTATGGCAGATCTTTTGGAGAGCAGGACGGCAACCTTACAGGATTGCCTGAGTTTATTGAATGCCCATTTAAGCAGCAGCTGAGTTATGTGGGATGGCAGGGGTCAGGTCATTCCTCCCTGCCTCAGGTGCCTCAAGGCCGTGAACTTTGCCCTGGAATAGAGGTACCTTGTGGGAGGAAGGACTGCATTGGCCAAAGAGGACAATGGCCTGAGTAACCCCTTGAGCACTGGAGGCCCCTTTCCCCCTACTCTTATAAAAGGGTTAGATGGGGTCATCAAAAGACAAGGAGAGTTGTGCATGAAGGGCCTCATTATAAAGGAGGAAAGGATGTGGTAGGGGCTACTGGAGAAGGAAAGAAAATAGCTTCTACCTAAAAGCTTCCCTGCTAATACTCCTTCCTGCCTTTCTGGGCTATGGGTTACCCAGCTCCCTTATCAACTTTCTCTACCGAGTTAACTACCTCTCACTTAAGAGCATTCTAGAGCTCTTGGATGGCCTCAAACTGACACCACAGGAAGTGCTACTGTGTGGGATATCTGTTCTAGTGTCCCAGACATACATTCATCCTGACTTAAGATGCTGTGTGACCAGCAAAGCAGTGGTCTGAGCCGACTCCTGGGTAGGTGTTCTGATTCCTGATCTACTATGTGATGTGGAAAGAATTCTGGATTGATTCCAGATAATGGGAAAACCAGAATCAGATTGTCAGGGCTGGAAGAGCCCTCAGAGGACATCAGATGAGCCCAGTGATCCTAAAGAAGAGGAAACTAGACCCAGAAAGGAAAAGTAACTTACCCAGAGTGATACAATGAGTCATTAACACAGCTGGGATAGGAACCTAGATCTGACTCCCAGCTCAGTGCTCTTTTCATGTCACCCTTCATAACCAGGAAAACATGGCCTTTGGTCAACCAGAAAATGGCCTGGGCAAACTGTATGTTTCCTACCATAGGGGGAAGAGGTTGTACCAGAGACACCATGTGAAATCCTCTACCAAGGCATGCTGTACAGTCTCCCCCAGTATATGGTAAGGAGATTGCTGGGCCAGAGCTGCCCTTCTCTGCTGCAAAGGAACAGACAGCTGAGAGCCATTTCAAGCTGAGCTGTCCATTATTTGAACTTATTTCCTGAGCCTTCACCTCTGATGCAAGGCATTCTCTAAAACATTAAAATTCTGAGCTTTCCTCAGGGCTTTTCCAAGAGGAAGGAGGACTTGGCTTTATTCCCAGGTTCTTCTTTGGGAGGGGTGGAGAATAAGGTGGGATCCATGCAGGATTCATTGGGGGCTCTCCTTCTAAGTAAGTATCCTTGACCCTTTGAAGTCTGCCATGGTCTGTCATGTCCTAGGTAGCCCCAGGCTGAGCAGTGAGGATGCTGATGGTCAGAGTTAGAGGGAGGAAAGGGATAGAGGAGGTGAGATCATGCTTATACCTCTCACCTTATTTCTAGGCATTGCCCCTCTCACTGGCTTCTATCCTCTTTAGAAAGAACAATTTTGAAGCAGAATAGCCTATAAGCTCCCTTCTGGGTCTGCCTGTCTGGCTATAGCCTCACAGGCAGGCCTCTCAGGCCTGGGCACCTGCCTGTCTGCCCTTCTGGAGGTGGACAAGATTTGGTCATTGAGGAACGAACATAGAGGAAACATTTACAACACTTCCCACAGGGCTGTTGAGGTGTGGAAAAATAGCCTGTTGAATGGAATGGACAGAGATGGATCTCCTCATTTTCTGCTTCCTAGATTGCCCTGCTTAAGATTCTGCTGGCTGCAGCCCCAACCTCCAAGGCTAAGACTGACTCTATCAATATCCTAGCCGATGTCCTGCCTGAGGAGATGCCGTGAGTCTTCAACTGGGTTGGCTGCTGAATGCTAGCTGTTTTGCCTAGCTGTCTAGCTGTTTCGTCTACAGTGTCTCTCTAGTCCCCACCCCACCTTGGTGACACTTATAGGGATTGTGTCTAAAGATGTGTCCCTTCCCCTACCAGTAACCCCTTTCCACTGGTGCTCTCTGGTGGGTTCTTTTTAGCTCAGAATCAAGGGTCTACAGGGCAGCATCAGTGCCAGAGACTGGCTGTGCAGGTATATGGGTGGACATTGTCAAGGGCTGAGCTTGCCAAAGGAAAGAGAAAAACAAAGAGAACAGACGAGCTTTTCTCCAGACAGGCTGGTGAGGGGGAGTTCTGGGGGTTTCCCGAGCACAGAAGTTCAGATCTGCCAAGTTCTGGTTCTCTTGTATATGTTGTCTCTGACCCAAATACACGGGTCCTTGTAGGCCTCTCTCTAAGGCTACTCTCGGCACTGACTCCTCCTCTCCCCATTGTAGCATCACTGTTCTCCAGAGCATGAAGTTGGGCATCGATGTGAACAGGCACAAGGAGATCATTGTAAAGAGTATCTCTGCTCTGCTCCTGCTACTCCTCAAACACTTCAAACTGAACCATATCTACCAGGTGAACAGCTAGCAGTGCTCCTCCACAGGTCTCAGGGGTCCTCCAGGCCCTGCCTCCCAAAGAGAGAATGCAGGGGCCTTTTTAGTCCAGTTGAATGTCTTTCAGCCTTTTTTTTTTGTCTTCCTCAGGGAATCCATATACCTGATGCACAGGCTTGCGTGGGGCTGGGGTGGGGGGTTTGGATTGGGATGTGAGGTGCAGATATCTTTGACCTTTGAATATTATCCAAGGTTGTAGGTAAGAATCCTTGGCTTCTTGAGAATGTGCCCAGCCAGCTTTGAAGCAGTGGAAGACAGGATTCAAGCATTCTACCAAAAAAAGGGGGGTTGGGGGAAATTATGTTGAGCATACTTTTCTATATGTGAAGCACTTTTCTAACATTTGAGATAGAACTCTGAATACACCGTTTTGACTCCTAAGGGCTTTGATGTCTTATAAGAGGTATGGATATATAGATAGCTAATTATGGAATGGTAAGTGCAAGATACAAGTAAGCATTAGCTGGTAATCCAACCTGAGATGGAGAAGAGGTGACTTCTAACCGGAGTCCTAAAGAAACAGATGTTAGCCAGGATATGGGAGTTGTCAGGGAAGGAAGATGGGAAGCCTTTCAAGAAGAAATGTTAATTTGTAAAAGTCCAGAGGAGAGAGAGAGAGAGCGAGAGCGCAAAGTACCTTTGGAAACTGATTAAATGTTGCTGGAGTTCTGCCTGGGGTTGGGGGAGATGGAGAGGCCTAGTGCTACATGAAACTAGAGACATGGCAGGGAGCAGATCACACAGTTGATAGCACACATTTATCGAGCACTTATAATGAGCAGGCACTCTGTTAAGTCCCTGTGGGGTCTCATTTAATTCTCTTCACCCTATGAGGTAGGTCTTATATTATCACTGTTTTGTAGATGAAGAAACCGAGGTTTCCTAAGAAAGATTAAGATGCCGCTTCCCCATGAAGGCATTGTTTGCCATGCTAAGGAGTTTGGACTTGGTACTGTGGACATTGCCAAGATATGGGGGACCCTGGGAGCAGGAATGGATGTCTCTGTGGTGAGAACATGGGGAAGAGAGAGAGGCTTCTCACGACTGCTCAGTGTCTCAGCTCCATTCATCCTAAGTAGTCAGAACCAAGCTTGTTGCTAGAACAGCAGGTTCTCGGAGTGCACAGAGGCTCCTGCAAGGTCTGTGTCCATGCAGGTTTGACTATACAATCAGCATATTTCTCCACGTTAGTACATTCAGAGACATCTTTGGGTATGTTATGGGTGTCCTGGGTGCTCACATTTCTTCTGCCAGTGTTTGCTGAGCAACAGCAGGGCTGGGAGGAGAAGGGGTGGGTGGGAGATGGTGCTCCTAGTAGAAAGAACAGAGAACTGTGGATATGTTTTTCTGTCTGCTTCTCTTGGTGGGCAGTGTGTGGATCAACAGCCAGACAGGTGGGTGGCATGATGGGCCTTGCCAGTGTGTGTCAGTGTCCGTGAATCCCAACAAGTCTACAGATATATCTCTAACTGAAAAACATTTTCCATAACTTCATAGTGGGTATGTATTGGCTGCTCCATCTGGAACTTTGGAAAAATGCCCCAGGTCAGCTACCAGGGAGAAAATATTTGAGCAGAAGAAAGAAATGGGCAGCACAAGCTGACTCCCCACCTCTAACCACACGCCCAGAGGCAGAGGACAGCTTGGTTTGCTGCCATGGCTACTTCTTGGTGACCAGGAAAAGCTAAGGGATTTAAAACACCATAGTTTTCTGCTTTTTCAACACAGTTTCTGTACTGTCCCAGCAGTCTGGGTTCTGGATCTGGAGGCACACTGTGTCTGATACTCCTCACTATCATAGGCAAAATTCAGGTGATGCCACTCCATGACACTGCCCACTAGGTTTTCCCAGACACAAACCCCACCCAAATTGAAGAGAGCAAAATGGAACCCCTATGTTCTGGTGTTTAGCCATCAAAAAGATCTTGGACTTATTGTCAGTATAGGGCTCTTATTGATCTTATATATTCATTAACATACTGATATTGTAAGTACAGGGATAATATAGTGAACCACGCAGACTCATGCTGGAGCCCACATTCCAGTGGTTCAGTTGTGCCATACCCATCCTGACTGAGTGATGCCAACAGTTGCCGGGAGGAAGTCGCACCTGCTCCTGCTATATCCATCACTGGTGAAACACTATGAGCCAGGGGTTTGGTATGGAAGACAACTCCCTCAGGGAGCCTTCCTTTCTTGTTGAGCTTAGGAAGAAATATCACAGCAGTTCCTTCTATTTATCTGGAGTGGGATTTTCTTTCTGGCTTAGTTATGTTTTGTGCTTTGGGTCAGCTTCTTGCAACAACATATACACACTGCAGATTGTCCTCCACGTAGGATGAGCTGGCTGATGATGCTTCTCCCATTTTAGGACGGTTGATAACACAGGTGGACAGTGAATATTCTTAGGAATTGATATTAGAGTTATACTTGCCTGTCTTTTTCATACATACTTTCTATTCTCTCCCAAATAAGCAACCCTTTCTGCTTCGGTCTTTTAATTCAGTTTGAATACGTATCACAACATTTGGTGTTTGCCAACTGCATTCCATTGATCCTGAAGTTCTTCAATCAAAATATCTTGTCCTACATCACTGCCAAAAACAGGTATGTACTCTGGACATTTATTTCATAGGTCTGTTTTGGGATGGGTTGAGAAATATACATCTGAGCCTTTCAGTTCTTGTGTCCCTCGTCCCTACAATCTTAGAGCTGTCACTCTTAAATTTAATTTCGTTGAACTGTAAGTTGATGATGGGGTGTGTGATTTGGTGTCTTCACAGAGGTATTTGTATTTTAATAGTTTTGAAAACTGAAAAATGTCATGACTCAAATAAATAAAACTGCAACACTGAAATTTTACCACTATGGCAGAAGGATCCAAAAGATGTTTTTTTGTGAAACATCCTTCTTATCTGGCCAGCCCTGATCTTAGTATAAATCATAAGTTGGATCAATTACACTTCTTTGTAAATTGTAGTGTTATACAGAATTTGTCATTGAAGGTAAATAATAGACCCTTACTTAGAGAGATCAGTTTGTAATAAAACAAATATATGGAATTTTATTTAATCTCAGTAGCGCTAAGAGTTTTACAAGTTTTATTCTCGTTTCACCAATTAGGAAACAAATTCAGAAAGGTTAATTGACTTGCTCAAGATTAACATGCTAATGAGACCACTTAAGTAAGCAGCAGAGGCAGGATCAAAACGCAAAAGTGTTTTCTGATCACAATCGCTCTGAATACAAATTGCTTTCCACTCCTTCAGCCAAATGGGGACTTGGGGGGTTACAGAGTAAATCCTTGTTCTTTAGTTTTCTACTTCCACAAGAACTAGAAGCATGCTAATTAAAGTTTAGCAGAAATGCTTTTACCAGAGGCAGTGTTCGTAAAGTAGAAGTAAGAAGGCTGATCTGATTACTTGGGTTGACTGGAGAGCACCAGGAGATGGTGCCTCACCAATCTTGTCAGTACTGCCTGAAGGTCCATCATACAGAGGCAGCCTACTTAAACATAGTTTAAAATAAAACATACACATGGAACCCGAAGTCATGAGACCTGCCATTTGCTAGCTATGTAATCTAAGTAAGGACGTTTTATTTTTTTGAGCCACAGTATTTTCACCTTATAATGAAAATAATACATCCTCTGACTATATCATAGAGATTTTATATAAGCACATAAGAGAAACATACGAGAGTCCTGCTCCACATTTCCAGGGTTAGAGATCCACCCTTGGATCAATCAGGTATGGCTGGGGTTCAGGAACTAAATACCTACCCTGCAACATGGGCCTAGAAGAGGATGGGCAGACAATCTGATAGGTGTCTATTAGGTTCCATTTGGAATTGGAAGAGTGGTAGTGCTGGCCTACATCATTTACTAAGATTGGCCTGGATAAGATGGTCCTCTTTTGCATCACCTGTAAGCTTTACTGTTGCATGAGTCCTGAAAACTTGGAGCACTCCTAGCTCCTTATTGCACAGTTTTATCATGGCTTATACAATGCAGATAGATACTCCAGAAACTTGTAATTTTATTTTTGGCCCCCTTAGGCTAGAATTCAGTTCACTGAGATTGCAACAAATCCATCTTTGATTTCCCACCCCCATTTCGTGGTTGCCAGCACGAATTTAGCCATGGGGCTTTGTCTGTGGGAGGTGGGTAGACAAGTGGATATGCCAGCCAAGAAAGTGTGTCCTAATGGAGCAGTACAGAACGGGAAACCCTGGGAGAATCCAGTAGAGTGAATTAAGATGATGAGCAATGTTATAGGTTGTTCCACTGCCCTCTCTCCTACCTTGGTTCCCCTAGGTTATCATGTGAGTTTCTTGAACAAAGGTAAATATTTCTAGGTAAACAAATTGTTGCTTTTTGCTTGGATGGAGGTTTTTTTTTCCCCAATGTTTATTTATTTTTGAGAGAAAGAGACAGAGCGTGAGCCGGAAAGGGCAGAGAGAGAGGGAGACATAGAATCTGGAGCAGGCTCCAGGCTCTGAACTGTTAGTACAGAGCCCAATGCAAGGCTCGAACTCATGAGCCATGAGATCACAACCAGTCAAGGTGGGACACTTCATCAACTGAGCCCTCCAGGTGCCCCTGCTTGGATAGAGGTTTTTTGTTTTTTTTTTTTTAATTTTTTTTTTAATGTTTTCTATTTATTTCTGAGAGAAAGAGACAGCATGAGCAGGGGAGGGTCAGAGAGAGGGAGATACAGAATCCAAAACAGGCTCCAGGCTCTGAGCTAGCTGTCAACACAGAGCCCGAAGCGGGGCTCAAACCCATGAACTGTGAGATCATGACCTAAGCCGAAGTCAGACGCTTAACCGACTGAGCCACCCAGGTGCCCCCTTGGATAGAGTTTTGACTTTTGAAACGTAGAGTCAGGTCCAAGAAACCCCATACTCCTCTTTGTAGCCCCTGCTTTGCTAACATCCTTTATCCATATCCAATTGCACTAGTTCAGATAGATTGGTTATAAACCTTATGGAATGTCAGAACCAGAAGGAGCGTTAGAGTTGAGCTAAATTCTGCATTGTACCAACGAAGAAAGGAGAAAAGGAAAAAAGAACTGTAATTTTGATTAGTTCTGTCCCTGTCATCATGCTGTGCCTCATTTTCCCTGCCTACTCATGCCTGCTTCTCTGGGCTCATTGCAGAGCCTCCAGTTCCCTTGCAGTCCCCCACTGTGGGTTTTGGGGCAGATGCCTTTACCCATTCTTGGACTAGATCGGTCCTGCTGCAGGAAGCTGCCTTTGTCTTAAACTTCCTTCAGGAGTGGCTTCTGTGATCATTTCCCAGAGCTCTTGGCTTTCAGAAACATCTGGTAAAAGACACAGGAGAGAGTTTCATTTTACCCTCACATCCACAGATTGTTAGTAATTGGGTGAAGTTTGGGCAGCATCTCTGGGAACACAGTTCACACATACACACAAGCATACACTTAAGTGCAAAAACACAAATGCACACAAGTGTCCGTACTCTTTAAAGAAGGGAGAAAAGTGGCTATCCCACAGGCTCTCTTGCTGCTCTCTTTTGCATCTGCCAGATGGGGGCCAGCCTGAAGGAATTCCGTTGGTTCCTCTCATGACTGTGAGGAGACGAGACTGCAGCTGGAGTTTCAGCTGAGGTCACTAAGCAATTTGGGAAATAGATGGGGCCTGCTGGAGAGAAATAACTCCTGCCATTTCAGATACTACCATTTTTTTGCCATTGCTATTTCCCTAAAGCCTGTCCCTTTCTCTGCATCCTGCAGCATCTCAGCCCTGGATTACCCTTGCTGTACCATCCAGGATTTGCCGGAGCTTACTACAGAGAGTCTGGTAAGCAGAGGGGGGGATTTGGTAGCTTTTGAACTTGCCAGGTGGCAGAGGCTGATATTTACTCTTCCATTTCTTCTTCAGCCTCATCATGCCGCCGGTTTGGGAGTCTCAGATCAATAAAGGCATATTGGCAAGAGCACAGAGGCAGGGGGCGCTTAGAGCTGCTAACCCTGCTGAGCAAAATTGGGAAAAACTGCACATAGCAATTGCAGAGAAGAGAAAAGGGCCAGTGACAAACACTAAGGAGGAGAGGGAATTTAGAAAGATAATGGGACTGAAATTGAATGTGAACATCTATGCTAAATGGCAGGACAATCTCTACTGGTCTGTTCCACACAATAATCTGTCTCCTTTCTGCTGTGTCACTGGCTATTCACTTTTCACTTTCATATAGATTATAAAACCCAGAAGTGTGTACTTCAGAGAATACCTTGCTTTTTGGTCCCTCTAAGCCAAAAGTTGGTAATAGCTACAGAAATTGACCCAGAAATTTCTTCATCCTGGAAACAGCTTTAGACAAATCAGAAAGTTCTTCAGAGTTATTTTGATATGGACTAATCAACAACGTATTGAAGATCCATTGTCTGCTGTGTGGATATACCTCCTTAGATATATTGAATCCACACCCTCACCCTGTTGCATTTACTTAGTTATCTATATCTGTTTCTCCATTTAACTGAAAACTCCTTGAAGAGATGACATCATCTTCATTTTTATATCCCCAGAGCCTAGCACTATGTTGGGTACATGTAAGGAGCTCAAATGCTGAATGATTGGGTGAAAGCACCCACATGTCCCCCAACTTTTTTACCTGTAAAACATTGTAATTGTATCAGATAAGTATATTATGCACAAATAGAATGATACCTTCTATGGTACAAGTTGTATAGAACCATAGGATTCTTGGCTGGAGGGGAACTGAGAGCCATTTAGCCCAACCCCCTATTTCAAAGATGAAAAACCAGAAGGCCCAGTGGATGAAGTGACTTGTCATAGTCCACTCCTCATAGATGACAGATCCTGAATTAGAAAATGACCATGTCCTAAGATAATAAATCTAGCACCCTTTTTAGCATCAGGACAGAGATTTCCTGTCTCACTTAGATGTGGTCTCAGTAGCCAAGGAAGCTGGGAGCTTCTTATGCCTACAGAGAAAGGCAGTAAGTTGTCTAATACCCCTGTTTATGCACATGATGTTAGTCAATCTTTAAAATAACTGTAAGGGGTGCCTGGATGGCTCAGTCAGTTGAGCATCCAACTCTTGATTTCAGCTCAGGTCATGATCTCATGTTTCATGAATTCAAGCGTGTGTCAGGCTCTGCACTGACAGTGCGGAGCCTACTTGGGATTCTCTTCCTCTCTCTCTGCCCCTCCTCTGCTCATGTGTGCACGCTGCATGCTCTCTTTCTCAAAATAAATAAACTTTAAAATAACTGTATAAGCTTGATATTACTGTTTTATAGAAAGAGAAGTTAACTGCCAAAACCTTACAGTTGAAAGTAGCAGAGCCAGCGTGAAGACTTACATCCCTACCATTCAGAGTTAGAATGAGGAATGCACTTTCTCACAGAAAACAGTGGTATACAGCATTAAAATGCTACTATTAGTAGGGTACTTCAAAACATAAAGTCAGCTTTTAATGCTGAAATCTATTTCTTAATGCAATATGTTCTCTTTTCTCAATCCCATATATAGGAAATTGATGGAAACTATACCTTCAGATCTCTTTGGCTGGACCCTTGGTGATATGAGCATAAAATTATTGAAATAATTGTTTTGCCTCTCAGAAAATTTTGTTATCCATGAGCAGGTGAAAGCACATATCTATTCTAAATAAACCAGTTCATGCTAGGTAGGCCTCTCCTTTGTGTAAAGCAACAGTGGCACCTGGTGGTTTTGTTTCGTAACCACAGATTTTTGTTTGTTCGCTTGAATTTACCGTGTAAGTACTTCCCATGAGCCCAATCATGAGCTTAAGTAACTAGCAAGTTTACTCCACATAGGTTTTCAATATAATGATTTGTTTATCTAAACTGATGGCTTATGTACTCAGAAAAGACTAATGTTTATATGAGTAAGATTTATCTCTTTCCAGGCTCAGTGAATTAATTGTAAACAGAAAATGTACTGGGTTTTTATGAATGTGTAGGGTTTTCTTTAAAACATATTTCAAGTTTTTTTCTGGTTATAAAATCAGTATATACTATTTTTTCTGGTATATAAAATCAGTATATACTATTGTAGAAAATTGGCTAAATACAGAAAAATAATGGGGGAGAAAACAAAAATACCTTAATTACACTACCTACATGTAACCACTGTTAATGTTTTGCTGCAATTACTGTATGTATGTGCATATACATTCATATATATATACACACACACTATTTAAGAGAATAAGAACTTTGTGTTATGTTTCAATTTACATAATAAAATTTAAATCACAATGTGACTTTAAACATATTTGAGAACATAATTTTTTTTTAAGTTTATTTATTTACTTTGAGAGAGAGAGCAAGCTGGGGAGGGGCAGAGAGAGAGAATCCCAAGCAGACTCCACACTGCCAGCATGGAGCCCAGTGTGGATCTCGAACCCACAAACCATGAGGCTGAACCAAAACCTGGAGTCAGACACTCAACTGACCAAGCCACCTAGGCGCCCAAGAACATAATTTTTAATAGCTACACATAATATTCCTCTTCTTAATTTTTTTTTACTTGATCGTTTTCTACTACTATTGGGGTTTTCTGTGTAACTCCAAATGAACGTCCTCACACATGAATCTTTGACTTCATCTCTAATTATCTTTTTTTTTTTAATGTTTATCTATTTTTGAGAGAGAGAGACAGACAGATTGTGATTGGGGGAGGCGCAGAGAGAGAGGGAAACACAGAATCTGAAGCAGACTCCAGACTCTGAATTGTCAGCACAGAGCCCAATGAGGGGCTTGAACTCATGAACCGTGAGATCATGACCTGAGCCGAAGTCAGATGTTTAAGCGACTGAGCCACCCAGGTGCCCCTCTGATTATCTCTTTAAGATACATTCCTAGAAGTAGAATTACTCAGCTGAAGTAGTCTTGATTCTAATTTTCTCAGTTTTTTGAATTTGAACTGAGTTCAACTTCACCTGGAACTCCAGTTGCACATTTAATGGACATGAAATAAGGTCAAAGTTAAAGGACATTAATTTCTAGAGTCTTACGCATGTACTGAGAAGTTTCCCTACTTACCTGGTATTGGAAGGTTCTCCAAAGGTTCATTTTGGTTCTCCAAATGTCTATATTCAAATCCAATCCATTAAAGTAGGGGAAAAAGTTAAATTCCAAACATAAGGGAAGGATAGTGAATGCATGGTTGTGTAGAAGATAGGTATGGTCTTTGGAAGGTGGTTGCTAGAAAAGTCAGTGATAGGGCTTCAGCAAGTATTATAAAATACTCATCATTTTGAATAGTTATTTAAGGCAGTGGTATAAAAAGTGTGCAAGATGATGCTTTGGGGGGTGGAATATTTTGATCTTTTATGTGTATTAACATCTCTTTCTATATTTATGTGTATATTAGGACATATATAATGTTATTACAATAATGTATTTCTAACTTATAAGTAAATGTGTATTTAGGATTGTACACAAAAATTATTTACTGAGAGATATGTGCAATAAAAAAATTTTAGAAACCACTGCTGTAGAGTATGTTGAAATGATGGTAAGGTTATAGGTCAGCTTTCTTTGTGGGCCTGTTGGCCCTAAAGACAAATCATGCAGATTACACCTCATCCTCCTTTCCTATCTTAACAGATATTTGGACCCAAAAAATGTGGCAAGTTCTGTGTAAATCCATTGTCACTGCTGCCAAGCCAACTCTGTTCAAAATGCTGGGTTTTTTCTCCAGAGGGTGATTTAATAACAGCAGCATCACATACAAAGAAGGGCATATTTTGAACAATGTAGATGTTCAAGTAGGCATATAGATTAAGAATGGAGGAATGAGAAAAGGTAGTCTATGTGGAATCCCTGAGTATCAGAGCTAGACGTTTCTTAGTATCTTGCCAAATCGCATCCTTTACTGATGAGGAAATGGGTGGAGTGATGAAGTTTTGTCTGGGTAGAGCCAAAACAGTGGGTCAGAATTTACATGATCTAGCCATTTGCAAAGAAACATTTGGCATTTCCTTTTAGATATATGCAAGTGAAATTATTAAGTTAATTTTTAAAAGGTAGTTCATTCCAAAGTCCTCAAATTTGGGTTCAATTTACATTCAGAAAGATCTATAAAAATATGTTTATTACCACTTAAATTTATGTACCTGATCCTTTCATCTATCCTTATTAAATTTTGTTTTTATAACTTCCTAATCCAGATATTTTTGGATATCCCAGAAGATTTTTGTTTGTTTTTTTAGTTTTTATTTTCTTAATTGGAATATAATCATGTTTAAGTATTAAGGTCTCTAACGTTCATTTCAGACATTATTTAACCAATGATTTATGACCATCACTATTTAAAACCAAAATTTGCCTTTAGCATTGTTGTTTCTCTGTTTTAGATATAATGCAAACACATCATAAGGTAGATATCCAGTTTTCTAGGAGGTATATTTATATAGAGGATAGAGGAAGGACCATTGATAAATGTTTTTTTAACATATTATCATTTTTCCTGTTAAATTGCCATTTCTGTAATGGGTACTAGAGGAGATTAGAATCTATAGAATGATTTTTCAAACTCAAATGTGCAGATCCATCTCCAGGGTGCAAATAATAGTTTGTTTTGCTAAAGCTCCCCAAGTGACTCTGAGATTTTCTTTTCTCTTTCCTCCTTTTTTTACTCATACCATTTAAGAATTACAGCTCTCTTTTATGATATCTAGGTCTTTAATCCAGCAGTACCTTAACTGTCAGAAATGCATATGATAAGGGAACTATAATGATTGGGAAAAGAAATTCTAAGTGAAAAATATGAATTAGTTTTCAGTTGTGTGAACCACAATAATGGAATGAATAAAAAAATCATTTACTGAGAAATGGCTATTATTATCAATCAGTAAGTGTTAAAACCTAGCAAATGTATTTTCAAATAGGTTCAAGTAAATACAAGGCTGACATAGCATGGAATACCTGAAGCACACAGCAAAGAAATGGACTAGTTTGTAATATAGAAAAGGCAGACAGAACTACAGCTCTAAGTTACCTTGATCAAGTAGGTTGTAGGAGTTCTATCTATAAAAGGAAGAGGTTGGGCCATTAGGTGAACATGAACTTTTCCTGGACTATAAAACTCCCATAGGTTCATTACATAACAACCAAGTTAATATTAGTAATTCTGATTTTCACTGAAGAGCTGATTATCAATCTGAAAATAAGAGTCATCACTAGGGACTTTACTAAGCTGAGAAGGTTTGAGATGTATTAGATTTAACACTTTGCAGTGCTTCTTTATTTTTTTGTAAAGTATGTATGTATGTATGTATGTATGTATGTATTTATTTATTAAAGTAATCTCTATCCCCTATATGGGGCTTGAACTCACAACCCTGAGATCAAGAGTTGCATGCTCTTCAGACTGAGACAGCCAGGTGCTCCTAGCAGCACTTCAAAGTTTCAGTCTGATCATAGACTGACCAAACTCAGTCAGATGTTCCCCTTTACAAAAGGAAACCTCATTATTGTTGTTGTTGTTGTTGTTTCTGGAAACTATTATCTTCTGTTTGTTTGGAATAACAATTATAATAGGACATAAGAAAGAGTTTCTTTACCATTAGGCTTTGAAGAAGCTGAGAAAGCAGGGGATCAGATCAAATTTTCTCTCAGGAATCATCTTCTGTGTCTAGGATTCCAGAAGGTGAATCTTCAACCAGAAGATGAACAGTAAATAAGGACAGAGTGTTATAATTCATTCAGTTACTGGAGATAGAGGTTCAAGCTCTGGTTGGAGCACTTCTGTGACTTTAGTCAAGTCCTTCCTTTCCCTGAGCCTCAGGTTTTGCTTCTGTGGATGACAGAATTGGACTAGACTTAGCCAAATCTAAGAGCTAAGTCTCCTCTAAGGCTCACATTCTAACCAATTTGATTTCCTCAGTACAAAAGGAAGAAACACTCTGTTCTTTCAGTCATTTGAGTTAATTATCAACATAACTGGTGTAAGCCTCTGTTTTTATTTGGCTTGGCTCAGTCAGCTGGGCCAAGATGGATCTTGAGAACAGAATCTTTGTAGTACCTTAGAGATGCTATGAAAGGGTAGGATGTGATCCCTGAACTGAAGTTTTAGACCTAAGGAGTATGTAAATAAAATTTTTAAACTGTTTTTAATTCCAGTATAATTAATATACAGTATTACATTAATTTCAGGTGTACAATATAGTGATTCAACAATCCTATTCATTACTCAGTGTTAATCATGAGAAGTGTACTCTTAATCCTCATCACCTATTTCACCCATTTCCCACGCTACCTCCCCTATGGTAACCATCAGTTTGTTCTCTATAATTAAGAGTCTTTTAATTTGTCTTTCTCTTTTTCCCTTTGCTCATTACTTTTGTTTCTTAAATTCCACATGAGTGAAATCATATGGTATTTGTCTTTAACTTATTTCACTTAGCATTATACCGTCTAACTCCATCCATATTGTTTCATATGGCAAGATTTCATTCTTTTTTATGGCTGAAAAATATTCCATGGTGTGTATGTATATTTCTCCAAAGAAGACATATAGCTGGCCAACAGACACATGAAAAGATGCTCAACATCACTCATCATCAGGGAAATGCAAATCAAAACTACAATTATAGATCACCTCATACCTGTTAGAATGGCTAAAACAAAAACATTAGAAACAACAAATGTTGGTGAGAATGCACAGAAAAAGGAACTCTCTTGCACTGTTGGTAAGAATGCAAACTGTTTCCTCAAAAAGTTAAAAACAGACCTAAACTATGATCCAGTAATCATACTAGTTGATATTTACCCCCAAAATACAAAAATACTAATTCAAAGGGATACATGCACCTGTATGTTTATTGCAGCATTATTTACAATAGCCAAGATATAGAAGCAGCCCAAGTGTCCATCCATAAATAAATGGATAAAGAAGATGTGGTGTGTGTATATATATATACATGTGGTATCTGTTATATTGATCTGTGTGTCTGTTTTTGTGCCAGCACCATACTGTTTTGATTACTACCACTTTATAGTATAACTTGAAGTCTGGAATTGTGATACCTCCAGTTTTTTCTCTTTCAAGATTACTTTGCTATTCAGGGTCTTTTGTGGTTCCGTAAAAATTTTAGGATTGTTTGTTCTAGTTCTGTGAAAAATACTGTTGGTATTTTGTTAGGGATTGCATTAAATCTGTAGATTGCATTGGGTAGTATGGCCATTTTAATAATACTTGTTTTTTTCAATCCATGAGCATGGAATGCCTTTCCATCTCTTTGGCCCTCTTTTGTTTCTTTCATCAGTGTTTTATAGTTTTCAGAGTACAGTCTTTCACTTCTTTGGTTAGGTTTATTCCTAGATATTTTATTATTTTTAGTACAATTGTAAATGGGATTATTTTTGTAAACAAATGTTTGTGTATGCTACTGAAATATGGGCAAATGTTTTTTTTTTTAACTTTTGCTAGTAGAAGGTGAGTAAAAGGTGAGGTCTTGCTTTGGATAGTGTGAAGTATCAGAAACAAGAGAATATGATCAAGTGGCTGCTATTCACAATATATCCCCACAGAAGTATACATCTTACTCAATATGCTGAGTCCTCTGAGTCCTGCCCTCCCCAAAAAGAGAAAGAAGGTGATTTGCCCACAAGTCTAGCAGATCTGAAAAGGCACCCCATGGAACTAAAAGTCTGCTGGAAAATGATTGTCTGTTGGGTTGGAACAAGGCAGAAGGCTTGAGCAGGGCTTCATGTAGAGCCTGCTGCTACAAACAGACAGCAAGCCTGGGAATGGAGGTCCTGAGAGAGCCATTGACCAGCACGTGTTCTTTCAGTGCTTGCTTCAGGCAACATCTGGTGATGCAGGAAGTGGGGCTAGTTTTAGTCAGTAGGGAAGCCGTTATCAGAAAGAAAAAAGAGCAAGGCCCTGGGCAGAGGAGACTCTTTCAGGAGGGAACTGAGATGTCTTTCCTGGGACTCTTGAGACTGAGCTTTGAGGAAAAGGCAGCCACGATCAGCTTACTTTCACTTAAAACTTCACTTTTGAGCCAACTGGAGAAAGTTGGAGTAAATCACATGATTATTGAATGATCAGAGGTGAAAGAATCTTAAAGATGATCTAGTTCAACCTCTTAAAAGAAACGGGGAAATGATTTATCTGCCATCATACACCCAGGGTCAAAGCCATAATCCAGGTGTCCTAGTGCATCTACTCCAATGTTGCTTCTACGAGGCCATTCCCCTACTCCCATACTTTTGTTTTATTTGTTTGAAGGTGAGCTCTATGCCCAACGTAATGCTTGAACTCAGACCCCAAGATCAAGAGTTGCAGGCTGTACCGACTGAGCCAGCTAGGCACCCCTCCCATATTATTTTTTGAGGTGCTAAGGAATGCAAGGCTTTTTATGCTGTTAGCACATTAGAAATCAAGATAAGAGAAGTGGAGATATACTTATCCTCTCCCATATGTTCTCTGTTTTCCCTGCTTCTTTAGAAAAATAAAATAAACATTTAAGAGTCCATTCCTCTGTTAGCCACACAGGATGGAACATCTGTAGAACCTATCTGTTTTGGGCAAGCTGACCAGCTGATGCACTAGAATGGAAACTCCCATGGAAGTTTCTCTTAGAAGGAAACAGATGGTTCTCTGGGGACTAGTTCTAAACACAATATTTACTACAGGAAAGAGAACATTGTTTTTAAATAATATTTCTAAAAGGTTTCTCTGAAACTTTTTGACCCTTAGTCTTATTTATTTCTTAGTAGATTCTAATACTCTCAAAATTCCTGGAGGTTCATTCCACATTAGATATATGCCTGCCTTGCTTGCTTCTGGTTAATTTGGGAAAGGAGAGGATAATTTTCCATTCTTCAGACAGCAGCTCACTTCTACATATTGTCTCCTACTCCTACTTTCTCCTATCAGTTTGTAGACATGAGTAATTTCCAAGATGTTAGTTTGACAACCGTGCATACTTAATGATTTATATAACTTATGACACCAGTATATTTACAGGTCCCCAAATCCAGAAGCACTCTTATTTTTGTCCCTGAAAGATGTTTCTGTGAGTAGATACCTGTTTCTAATCTGACATCCATCTGTTACCTCTGGTTGGGTGCTCACAAGCTATCAATGAACGTGTAAGAGAAACACCTGGTTAGAATTAACCATCTGCCATTTTTGCTTCTGTGCTAGAGAATCAAGCTATTTACTGCAATAGGGTTTGATAAAGAAGGGTGGGGGTGATTAAAAAATTCAATCATAATGAATATCAAATCCATCCAAAATAGTTTGAAATCTACTAGAATGGGGGCACCTGGCTGGTTCAGTCAATAGAGCATGCGACTCCTGATGTTGGCATCATGAGTTCTAGCCCCACGTTGGGCACAGAGCCTACTTTAAGAAAAGAGAGAAAGAAACTACCAGAATAAGTCCTAGCAGTTATAAACAGCTTATTTAAGTGCAAAGTATATGGAGGTAAAATTCTATCATCTCTTTTCTGATTCTAAAGCAGAAAGTTACACAAGAAGGCTTGCATGAGTGAAGTTCCTATGTTCATGTGTCCTCTTCCTAACCAATACTTGCTCTAGGTACAGTCTTCCAGGATTGGCAGCTGTGTGTTTTCAAATGAAGGGTATTGCATGCTTTGAGGACTTGATGTGTGAAGAGCTGAATGATGAGGAGGTAGCATTTCATAAGGAAGGCCTCACCTAAACTGACCAACTGTGACTTCCAGGTTTCTGTGGGAACAAAAGCCTTATAGGTGTTGAGGTAATGGTGGGCCTGCCTTATTACAGGAAGCTGGAGACAACAACCAGTTCTGCTGGAGGAACCTCTTTTCCTGCATCAACCTTCTGAGGCTGCTCAATAAACTGACCAAATGGAAGCATTCCAGAACCATGGTGAGTAGTGGGGCTTCAGATCTTGGAGGTGTCCGTCTGAATTTTTTTAGTCGTAAATATCTATGAACTCTATAAACAGACACTGAATGCTACATAAGGTGAACACTTCCTAATTCTGGGCACTTATTCTATATGAGATAATTATTCACCAGTCCATTTCTTTACAAGGAACTCAATATGGACCCTCCCCCATAGCAGGTCTGATTGGAAAGGTAGCATTGTTATTTGGATTATAATCACACATCCCAAATGATGCAAGTCTTAAGATTATCCATTGCAGCATGAATCATGAAAAATTGGAAGCAACCTAAAGCTTATTAATACAGGACAAACTGGTTAAATAATTTTGGTACATCTTTATAATAGAACATTATACAACCATTAAAAAGAATGAGGCAATTCTATACTGATGTATAATAATTTTCAAGATACATTAAATAAAAAGCAGGTATGGAACAATATGACAGGATATGTAGCTAGCTGTTGTTTTTGTTAATAAAAATAATATATGTATACATAGAATTATGTATCCAGAAGATTCTTGAGAAATTGTAACAGAAGAAATGGGATGTGTGGCTGACAGAATTATTTTGCTGTTTATATCACGTACTTTAAATATTAGAAATTTTGAATTGTGACATATAAATGGAGTGATTCCTCTATATTCTTTTTAAAAAACATTTTTTTAATGTTTTATTTATTTCTGAGAGAGAGAGAGAGAGACAGCATGAGCAGGGGAGGGTCAGAGAGAGAGGGAGACACAGAATCCAAAACAGGCTCCAAGCTCTGAGCTAGCTGTCAGCACAGAGCCCAACACGGGGCTCAAACCCACGAACTGTAAGATTATGACCTAAGCCAAAGTCGGACACTCACTGACTGAGCCACCCAGGCGCCCAATTCCTCTATATTCTTGAAGACTAAATGTAAAGAGAACCTGGACGATAGATTCCCAAAAGCTCCCTGGAGTACTAAGGCAAGTCAGGTTTGGCTTAATTTGTCTGTGATTTGGGCATCTGGATGGCTCAGTTGGTTAAGTGTCTGACTTCTGCTCAGGGCATGATCTCGCAGTTCATGGATTTGAGCTCCATATCAAGGTCTGTGCTGACAGCTCAGAGCCTGGAGCCTGCTTCAGATTCTGTATCTCCCTCTCTCTCTGCTCATCCCTCCCCCCCCCTAAAAATAAACATTAAAAAAAAAAAAAGTTGTCTGTGAGTTGGAAGTTCTAAGAAACTTTAGATCCTTATCTGCCTTTCTTCACTCCCACCCTTCTTTAAATTGGTAGATGCTGGTGGTATTCAAATCAGCTCCAATCTTAAAGCGGGCCCTCAAGGTCAAACAGGCCATGTTGCAACTTTATGTTCTGAAGCTGCTAAAAATACAGACCAAGTACCTGGGGCGCCAGTGGAGAAAAAGCAACATGAAAACCATGTCAGCCATCTACCAGAAAGTGCGCCACCGCATGAATGATGACTGGGCTTATGGGAATGGTGAGTATTCTTAGAGCTCTTGACCTCAAGGAGTTGCCCAGAGTTTAAGCAAAATTAAATAAATATGTATCTCTACTCTTTTGTATGAATTGTTACATATTTTGGATGAGAAAATATGTGATTTTAGTCAGGGGCTGATATAACAAACTTTAAGGTACTGCCCCAAATTTTAGCATGCACCCTGGTCCTATTGATTATAAAAATCCATATTATAGGGGTGCCTGGCTAGCTCAGTCAGTGGAGCCTACAATTGTGATCTCGGGGTTATGAGTTCAAGCCCCGTGTTGCAGGTGGAGTTTACTTTAAAAAAAAAATTCCATTTTATGAAACAAGTAAATTAAGAGATAATTACTCCCTTTGTAAAACATTCTTTTATTTATTTATTTTTTTAATTTATTTCTAGAGAGAGTGAGCAGGGGAGGGTCAGAGAGAGAGGGAGTCACAGACTGAAACAGGCTCCAGGCTCTGAGCTGGCAGTCAGCACAGAGCCCGACGTGGGGCTCGAACCCACGAACCGTGAGATCATGACCTAAGCGAAAGTCGGACGCTCAACCGACTAAGCCACCCAGGCGCCCCTGTAAAACATTCTTTTAAATGACAGGTTTCTCCAAAAGATTTCTAAAATTAAAATAACCTTTTACTATTATAAAGCAGTTTGAGGAGCACCTGGCTGGCTCAGTCGGGAGAGCATGCAACTCTTGATCTCGGAGTTGTAGGTTTGAGCCCCATGTTGGATGTAATAACTGCTTAAATAAACTTTTTAAAAAGCAGTTTGAAAGTACAAGTCAGAAAACTTTATTATATCACCATATTTATGCCCTATTTGTACCACCCAAAGATTGACAATGTTAACATCTTATTGGATATTCTTCTAGGTCTTTTTCTTTACATATATATTTTTATATATTTATTTATTTATTTATTTATACACACATTTTACTTAAGTGAAAACAATTCATACATGCTATTTTATCATCTTTTTTCAGTTAACATTATCTATGTCTTTCCATATCAGTATGTTTTCATTTTATCCAATTTCAAAATTCCTCCTTTGCCCCCAAATGTTATTTAAAGCTATTTTTTCCAAGTCATAATTCAACCCAGGGCCACAAATTCCATCTGAGTGTTCTATCTTATTATTTGTTAAATCTAGCCATGTTTTGTTTTCAGGGTTTTTTTCCCATAATGCTGACTAATTGAAGAACTAGACCAGTTGTCCTGCAGAATATCCACCTTCTGGATTTATTTCTTGCTTCTTTGTGTCATCATTTACCTTATCTATCTACCTCTGGTATCACCTGTAAATGAAAGTTAGGTCTGAAATTTTGATGGATTCAGTTTAAAACTTTTAAGCCATAATACATTCTAGGTAACATTGGGAGCTATATATTCCCTCATGTTAGGAGACATTATAATATCTGGTTTACTATCAAGATATGATAGATTGACCAGAGTTTGGGAGAATTTATTTTGGAGAGATTTTTCATTGTATTGCCAATTGCTATAGTGGGATTTGACCATTATTTGCATAATTGTATTTAAGAGTTTTTGATAAGATGACTAATGACTCATCTTTACGGAGATTTGTAACCTGCCTGAATTTTAGAGAATGCTGCAGTAAAGAACCCAGAGAACTAAGAGAAATATATGATTAGCAGATAAGCCAGGATACAACTTCTATGAGACATAAAACACAATTAACTATTTAAATTTTTGTAGATTTTTAAAACGTGAAAATGTTTTATCCTGCAAATGTCATGTCCGTTATTGCTGCCATCACGAGCCCAAACCCAATCTGTACTCCTTAAAGATAAACCATTAAGGGACGCCTGGCTGGCTCAGTCAGTAGAGTGTGCGTCTCTTGATCTCAGGGTGGTATAAGTTCAAGCCCTGCATTGGGTTTAGAGATTACTTAAAAAATAAAATCTTAAAAAAAAAAAGATAAGCCATTGACTTATGTGGGACATAAGAGATCTGGGAAAGATGTGTCTATAGCCCTGAAATAAGTGTCTGAGTGGGATAAATAGAAGAAAGCAGATTCTCTACTTTCTATTTTTATCTTCATGAAGTTTTCACCTCATAATTTTAACACAGTTTTTTAAAACATTAAAAAAAATTTTTTTACATTTATTTATTATTATTATTATTTTTAATTTATTTCTAGGAGAGAGAGAGAGACAGCATGAGCAGGGGAGGGCCAGAGAGAGAGGGAGTCACAGACTGAAACAGGCTCCAGGCTCTGAGCTGGCAGTCAGCACAGAGCCCGACGCGGGGCTCGAACCCACGAACCGCGAGATCATGACCCAAGCGAAAGTCGGACGCCCAACAGACTAAGCCACCCAGGCGCCCCTACATTTATTTATTTTTGAAGACAAAGTACGAGTGGAGGAGAGGCAGAGAGAGGAGGAGACACAGAATCTGAAGTGGGCTCCAAGCTCTGAGCCCGTTGTGGGGCTCGAACCCACGAGCTCGAGATCATGACCTGAGCCGAAGTCAGACGTTTAACCGACTGAGCCACCCAGGCGGCCCTAATTTTAACACAATTTTAACATAAGCTGGTACATACATTTATCATATGCTGGCAGAGATTGCAGGGAATCAGTGAAATCTTCAATAATTGGTCCATTCTGATTCTTAGTTGTACCCCTTTCCTGCCTCTTTCCATTCCTTGAGAGCTAGTGATTCCGTTGAAGTGGGAAACTCCCATCCCCCTAGGAAAGCTCAGTAAAGGGAACTGAGTTGCTGTTTTGGAAAATATAATATATATAACTAAAAAGAAAGTAGAATAATGAAAAGGAAGTACAGTTAAAAAAAAGAAGTCCACTTCCCTCAGGGGCCTTATTTCCTTCTTAGTGATAATCAGTTAACCATTTCTAGACTCCTCTTCCAAAGATAGTCTCTGTATGTACAAGAGTATTTTATTTTATTTTTATTTTATTTTATTTAATGTTTATTTTATTTTTGAGAGAGAGAGAGACAGAGGGTGAGTGGGGGAGGAGCAGAGAGAGAGAGAGGGGGAGACACAGAATCTGAGCCCAGCCTCCAAACTCTGAGCTGCCAGCACACGGCTCAAACATACAAACTGTGAGATCATGACCTGAGCTGAAGTTGGATACTTAACCGACTGAGCCACCCAGGCGCCCCCCAAGAATATTTTTTAAACCAGAGTGGCAGCATGTTATATACTTACTTTGTATATTGCCCCACAATAAAAGGAAATTCTGAGCAGTTTCATTGTTCTTATCCCATAGACCATGGTCTGTGATAAGAGGAGCAGTGTCCTGAGTTGTATATATCTTTTTCTTCCTCTCTTCCCAACACAGACATTGATGCCAGGCCATGGGACTTCCAAGCAGAAGAATGCACTTTAAGGGCCAACATTGAGGCTTTTAACAGCCGCCGATATGACAAACCCCAGGACTCTGAATTTTCACCTGTGGATAACTGCTTGCAGAGTGTGCTAGGGCAGAGGTTGGATCTGCCTGAGGATTTCCACTATTCATATGAGCTCTGGCTGGAGAGGGAGGTGTTTTCACAGCCCATCTGTTGGGAGGAGCTGCTCCAGAATCACTGACTGAGCTCTTTCTTAAAAAGCATCTGATAAATGGGTGTTGGCTCCAATAAATGGTGCTGTGCCTACCCTGCCCATTCGGCCTTTGTTTCTAGCCCTGGGAATGCTTGTCTAAGGGAGAGCTAGCCTAGCCCAAGGACATCCAGGCTAGTGCAGGGCCATTCTGGGGGCTTTGGTCCTAGAGATAGTGCAAGGCTAGGATCACGAGTCACAGCAAATTGGTCAACTTCCCCTAGAGTGAGTTGGGTGCCCAGTTGGTCTTGAAAATCTGCTGGATCAAGTCCGGGACAGGCTCTTTTGCGGGACTGCTTCCTGCTTTTGTCTTGCCTAGAACAAACCTAGCCTTTGCTGGCCCCAAGAGTGAGAATCAGTTTATTATGATATTTGACCCATGATGTTCATCATAGGTAATGGGAGGTAAAGTCATAAAAATAAAGGGAGAACATTTCCTTCTTGCTCACCCTGGATTCCAAGGACTTAAGAGAGGTTTGGTAAAACCAACTTTGAAATTAAGTCTGTATTTTAAATTTAAAATTTTGACACCTCTTTCTAAAATTATTACTTCAAAGATGATTTTAGAGCACCTGCACCTTGCAGACGATGATTTGCTATTACCTAAATACTGCATGTTATAGTAAGGAATATTGTGTAAAGTGTATTTTCTCTACTCCTGAAGAGATCTCTGTTCAGTCTGAAAATTATCTCCTTGTATATTCTGTATAATGCATGGAGTGCTCTGCCACAGCCAGTATGAAATAGGCCTCCTCTAAGGATGTTTCATGTTTTTCTGAAACTACTTCAGTCTTCAGATGATTGAGTACACTGTAGAAAACTATCCTTTTCATCCAATTCACTTTTTAAATGACAAGTAACTACAGGAGGTTTTATTTATTGAGATGGCATGTCCATTTGTGCTTGTGATCGATTTATTTTTTAATTGAATAGAATAGCAAGAGCATCACAGCTTACCATTTTTCTTCTCCTATGTTGATTAATGATTTTTTTTTCCTTTTTACTGCTAGTGGTTTCAAAGTGTCATGTGGAAATTTAGCAATACTGTTTCTATCTAAAAGTATTGCACATTTCTTTGAAAATACAGGGGTGGATCTACCAACCTCTTTAAACTTTTAGAGCAAAATCACATACTTCTCAACAGAAACAAGGTTTTTAGAAAAGCTTCTGATTCAATCAGGATCATTTTATTTCTCTCTGTCCCCATAGTTATGTTATCTATATTTTCAACTTTTTTGTTTTAAATGCCCTCCCCACCAGTATAGACACTACTGAGTCTTTTTTATGATAGCACCAGGCCACTTTAACTGTGCCAGAGGTCTAGTAAAAAAATGGCTATTTACTCTGTCAACCACCGTCTCATTTGGAAGTTATGATACAGTTACCAATGATATCCAAAGGAACTAAACCAGAATTCTAACTAAAACTTGGATTTCTCCTCTTTGTGCTGTAGAGTAGCAGGCTTTGTTTTTATGGAAAGGTTATGGAGAATGTTTAAGTAACGGATGACACTTTTTAAAATAATTTGTAAAGTTTACCTCAATAGGACAGATAGCTATCCTCACTGCAATCAAAATAATTTACTGAGCATATCATATAAGAACCCTATTAATCTATTTTAATGTGGTTTAACTGAAAAGACAATTTTCAAGGAAAGAGCAGTCATCAATCTATTTCTCTTAAAGCCATATAGTACTTAATTTGTGTCAAGAACAAATAAGTTGCCCTTTTAAAAATACGCACATGAACGCTTTCTGAGGCATGTAAGTATGCTAAGCTTTAACATTTCATACTTTTTACAAATCTTCTCTAAGGGAAGATTCTCAGTGCAGATGGAGAAACTGAGACACCAAGAAAAGTGATTAGCTTCCAATCACAACATTTTTTCGCTGACTTGCTGGGATAGCATTCAGGTATTGATAGCCAGCCCCATATGTTAAACTGATTTGAATCTTCCAATTTGAGAATCATGTGTGTGGTTAGGAATAAGTTCAGATTAACTAGCCTCCAATGGTGATTACTGTTACTTAGAAGAACATTATTTGAGTGACTTATAGAGGATTTTTATTTGTGAATATTTCAGTAAAGTTGTGTTGATTGTTGATAACACTGTTTACTTACTAAAGCACTTTAATAAAAAGAAATTGAACTGGAGTAAGAAAATGGTCTTTAATTCTTCGAGACAAAAGAATCTTAAACAGATATAAGAAAGGAATAATATATGAAGAGGATGAACATATAAAATCTTGTGTAGTATTTCCTGGGGGTAGACTAACACCAACAACTGCAAAATCTCAGTGATTTATGACAAACCCTTATTTCTTGTGCCTGGGCCTAGGGATCAGATGCAGCTCTGCTTGACCCTCCTTATTCTGGCACAAAGCTGCTGGAATAGCTCCTACCTGGGGATACTATTCTCATGCTAAAGGGCAGGAGCAAGCGTGAAACCATCCTATGCAGGTACCTGGAGGGTGCTTAAAACTCCTGCTTGGATGTGGCATAAGTCAAGTTGTTCCTATTCACTGGCAAGAAACAATTCACATGGGCAAACCTAACATTGGGCCAGAGGAGTATATTCTACCTACAAGAGGGCAGTTACAACCAGACATATGTGTAGACAGTGAGTCACAGCAGCTTCTCAGTGAGCTCTTGAGATTTGGTGGTTGGGCTTTCTTAGATATTCCTGAGAATTTCAACAGCATTCCAGTGAGCATTTGAAACTACCCATTTCAGTGCTTTATGTAGATATTTTCAGTTGTGACTTTTTTGACCTTTTATGTTCATAGTTCCCCCAATTCTTCCACCTACCAAAAATCTTTGTTATATAAAGACAATTCTATAAATGAGTGTCTTGATAGCTTCTGTTTTTCCCACAAGTAGTTGTGGTGAGTTTGAATTCTTTCCTCTAGGCCTTCTTAATGACCCATGTTTATGATAAAACTAGCTGAGACTAAAAAAATGCAGCTATGGTTCTGAAACAAAAATGACACTGGTTCACACAACAATCAGACTCATGACCTTGATCTCATCAAAACTATTTTTTTTTGTTTTGTTTATTTATTTTGAGAGAGAGAGAGCACGCGTGCATGACTGGGGGAGGGGCCGAGAGAATCCCAAGCAGGCTATGCACTTTCAGTGTGGAGCCCAGTGCAGGGCTCGAACCCATGAACCATGAGATCATGACCTGAGTTGAAACCAAGAGTTGGACACTTAACCAGCTGACCCACCCAGGTGCTCCTAAGTGCTATTATTGATGAGATAAGTAACCACCTTAACATTCAGGCTAGGTCAAGTATGAACTTTGCAACACTTTGGCACTCTGAAAAGTGAGGTGCTAAGTGTGTTTAGAGCAATTTGCAGAGGCAAAGAAAGTCCTGCCACTATTCCAGAAACACTGGGCAATGGTCAGTTAACGTCTGCCTATGATTCCAAGCCAGACTTTTCTGTAATGGTACGGTAAAATGTTTTCTGTAATAAAAATGTTTACAAGATATTGTGGAGTTTATAAACAACTTTTGTGAAATATCCAGTAGGTTTTAGAGTAACTACTACTATTCTTACATGTATTTAATACTAATATATATTTTAATGAATATTTTATATGATGCTTTTAACATGAGACACCTCAAAAATATATTTTAGAGAACAAATGTCTACAGCATGATTTTATTATCTGTATATAAAGTATAACTTTCGTCTGCCTCTGGGCCTCTTGTTTTTCCATTTTCTTTCAATCAAAAAAAAGAATATAGAAATAGTGAAGAAAATTAACTCCTCAATCTTACCACTCAACAATGAACTATTTATATGGTGGCAGTATGCATACACTTTTGGAAATGTTGGCATGGGTAAGTCCTAACTGGTGATTTTGGGGAAACACATGAGTTACCTTATATTACTTATTTTTTCCAACTAATGAGTTTTCAGTAACCTCGTATTCCTTCAGAAGTCCTGGTATGGAATGTTTATAGAAGGTAAATCCTGAGTACTTTATACCTTCACTTTTTCCAGGTGAATGTATTTTCTAAATGTTTGACTATTCTAATGTTATCTAATGTTAAGCCTTAATATTTGGAAGATTTTTCTATGGACATGTATTTTTTTAATGTTTATTTATTTATATTAATGTTTTATTTATTTCTGAAAGAGAGATAGCATGAGCAGGGGAGGGTCAGAGAGAGAGGGAGATACAGAATCTGAAACACACTCCAGGCTCTGAGCTGGCAGTCAGCACAGAGCCCGATGTGGGGCTCAAACCCATGAACTGTGAGATCATGACCTGAGGTGAAGTCAGACGCTTAACCAGCTGAGCCACCCAGGCGCCCCTAATGTTTATTTATTTTTGAGATACAGTGTGAGCAGGATAAAGGCAGAGAGAGGGAGAGAGAGAGACAGAATTCAAAACAGGCTCCATACTCTGAGCTGTCTTCAAAGAGCCTGATGTGGGGCTCAAACTCATGCACCATGAGATCATGACCTGAGCCAAAGTCAGATTCTTAACCAACTAAGCCACCCAAGCACCCCTGGAAATGTATTCTTAAGTTGAAAGGGATCAGAGATCATCTAGGACAGTCTCTATCCAGTGCAAGAATTGCCTTAACTGATATCCCCTACACATTTCACATTTATCTAGTCTCTTAATATTTTCACAAACAGGAATCTCACTACATCATAGTTTCAGTAGTAATAACTGAAATGTCTACAACAGAATTAGCTATTTGAATACAGTCAACTTATGGCATTATGTGAGCCAAAAGAAACATGAATACCTCTATGGAATACAAACTAACCCTAGCTATTAATTGTACTTTTCTTCCCCAGTGTATTAATTTCCTAGGGCTGCTGTAACAGGTTACCATGGCGTGAAACAAGAAATTGATTCTCTCACAGTCCTGTGTGCCAGAAGTCTGAAATCAGGGTGTCAGCAGGACTCCCTCCCTCCCAAGGCTCTAATCATTCCTTTCCTCTTCTAGTTTCTGGCAGCTCTAGGCATTCCCTGGCTTGTGGCATGTCACTCCAGTTTCTGCCTTTTTGGTCACATTGCTTCCTCTTCTCAAAAGTC